CTTGTGGGGCAGGCGGTGGAACCACTGAGCTAAATCCCCGGCCCTGCCTGCCATATCTTGAAGGGTTACTTTTAGCTCTAAAGATTAGATGTGAACATTAGAGCTCAGCCTCTACTGGTTATTTACTCATAAATTCTAGTTCCTTCCACTCTTCAGGTTTACTGAGGAGGGGGACTTTTGCAGATACTAGGCAGCATAAAGGAAAGCTCCATTAATACATAAGTGAATAATCACTGCCACTTTAAAATTAGCAAATTTAAGACAAATTTAAGTGGATATAAGCTAATGGAATTTATTTAGAAGGAGAAAGAAAAGGGAGAAATAACTTTGTCCTTTTTTTTGTACAATGTTTAAAATACAGTAGATAGGGCTGGGGATTTAGCTCAGTGGTTCCGCTGCCTGCCTTGCAAGCACAAGGTCCCAAGTTCAATCCCGAATACCAAAAATAATAATAATAAATAAAATAAAATACAGTAGATATTACCCTTTGTTTGTTTTTTGAGACAGGGTCTCACTATGTAGTTCAGGCTGGTCTTGAATTCACTATGTGGCCAAGGTTGAGGTGATCTTCTCGAACTTGAGGTGATCTTCCTGCCTCAGCCTCCCAAGTGGTAGAATTACAGGCATGCATCACCACACCTACTTTAGATCAATGAATAGACTCTTTGTGTTGTCACACATTCCTGTGGTGATGTAGGAAATTGATAGGTAATGGGAAACTTTGCTATTTAATTGACTTTGCAATCTGTGTGTGTCTCATTCTCTATTAAACTAAAAGCAGCACCAGCCAGTGTAGCTTTTCACCTTATGATGAAGAACAAGCATCTGGTGATTAAAAAACGTTTTTCAGGGACGGGATTTAGCTCAGTGGTGCCGCCACCTTCCTTGCAAGCACAAGGTCCCGAGTTCGATCCCTGGTACCAAAAAAACCCCCACATTTTTCATAACTGAGATGAAATCTGGATTGCAACCATTCTTCTATCAACAAATGGAGGAGCCAGACAGAGTGAGATAGATGATGATAACCCTTCCTCACCTTAAAACTGCAGAAAAAGATTGAGGCTTGCACAAAATATAACATGGGATCCCATTACATGAGTTCTGTGGCAGAACTTCCAGTGGAATCCATGAATTTTTGACCCATCCACTAGTTGATTACCAAAAGTACCTAAGTGTCCCAGCTACTGTGTATAATAAACAAGTACTCTGTATATTTATCTTGCCTGGAAGAGTGAAAGGTGATGCACAAGCCTAAGAGTTGGTATTTATCACTAGGGAGGAGGTATCGTGAAGGTCTTTAGTCTATTTTTGTGCCTATATTCCAGCTTTTTCCTGAGTTTTCTGTGTAGCATATCTGGGTACACACTAGTGATGGAAGGTCAGCAGGGAGCAAACAACACAGTCCCTGTGTGCATGAGGTTGAAATTAATAATGTATTGAGCACCCTCTTTACAGAGCCCAGTACGAGGTGATGTACATATGGTAATGAATAAAAGAAATTGAATATGTATTGCTTAGAACTAGGAAAAAATTATATAGAAGGGAAAAATGGTTAAAACTTGCATTGATAAAATGCTTATTCTACAATATAATAAAACTTGTTCTTTATCTTTACCTGGGTCCCCAGCTTTGAGTCTGTCAGAATAAATGGCTAGCTGTCTTATCTGTCTGCTAGTGCATGTTCCCATGCTCTAGTGCCCACTGTCATGTGTCAGGCCTAATCTGATCTCTCGGGCACTCTTTTTTTAATAGTGTGTAGTCCACACTGGCCTTGAACTCAGTATGTAGCCCAGGCTGGCCTCAGACTTTGATCCTCCTGCTTCAGCCTCCCAAGTCCTGGGATTAGAGGTGTGTGCTACCCTACCTGGCTGGGGGGCACTGTTGGTGCTCGAAAAAGACATTCATAGGATAAGAAATGTTCTGTCAGGCTGGGGATTTAGCTCAGTGATGCCACCACCTGCCTCACAAGCGCAAGGTCCGAAGTTTGATCCCTGGTACCAAAAAAAAAAAAAAAGAAATGTTCTATCTTGGGTCTGGGAATTTAGCTCTGGTGCCATGCCTGCCTCACAAGTGCAAGGTGCTGAGTTTGATCCCTGGTATCGGGGCAAAAAGAAATATTCTATCTCGACACAAAATTGAATCAGAGAAGCATTAAAGTTTCTTTTGTAAATGGATGAGCAGAGTACCACCTCTTCTTGGCCTCATCCTTAAATTGGGAAATAGAACTTCAACAAAACATCTATTGCTTGTCTTGAAGTGAGCATGCAGAATCTGGTAGATAAAATGGGCTAGGGAGAAGAATTGCTATAATAGAAAAGGACATAGACTTAGCACTGATTAGGCTAATGAGTTGTTTACTTTTGCTAGGGCTCAATTTCTTTGTAAAGTGGAGATAATTCCTCCACCAAAACATTCATTTTAGTTTTAAGTGCAAGACATTTACCCCTGGTGTCTGGCAATACAACCACTGCGGACATTGCCCATTGACTTGTCCATGGCTCGGAAACATGTACCTTAGTAAATGTAGGCCCCCTGCAGGCACTGGGTTCTTAGATGGCAGATATCCCCGTGGATGAACAGTGTAATCCTACACATGGTGTAGTGTGGAAGAATTAAAGTGGCTATCCCAGGATTGAACCTTTGGCCACTTGCCAGTATTGAGAGACTGGGTATATATGTCCTCTCAGCTGTTATATTCCCCTGCTTTTCTGTCTAGATTTTTGGAACATTACTAGAAAGAAAGCAGAAGTTAGCATTTTACCTATCAGTCTAGAATATTCTGGTTGATTAATAACAAGACTGCAGTAATTGTTGGGGACTTTTGAGAAGGCATAGGTCTTTGATTTGGCATTTAAAAAATTTTCCCTCTCCTAGAAGGATTTGTGTCTGCCATGATCTTGAAACTACATGCAGCTCTTTTAATAGGTGGTTTTTCAGGGTGGCTTTGGGAATTCTGTTCTTCAAATACAAACATTCAGGGTCTAGTGTGTTTCATGAGCTCATTTGGTATTAGGTGTTGTTTTTTTTTTTTTTTTTGGTACCAGGGATCAAACTCGGGTCTTTCCACTTGTGAGGCAGGCAGCAGAACCACTGAGCTAAATCCCAGGCCCTAGGTGTTATTTTTAAGTTCTTCTAATTTTTTTTTTTTAACCTCTCATGATTTTGCTTTTTGCCCATGCTTTGGCTAAAACTAAGACATTAGATACTTTAAACATTATTACCTGCTAGATTCACTGAGTCCTAGCTTCTCTTCATAAAAATAATACAACATTACTGAGGTTTAAGTATAGCTGGTACTATGGAGTAAGACAGAACTGATTAGGGCAGAACAGAGGTCTCAGTCTCACTAGAGTTACTGTGATACAGTGTGATAAGTACTCATAGATAATGCATGGGATAGAATTTATTAAATTTCTTTTGGTGGGGCAAAAAGGGTAAGTAGGGCAGACTTCCTAGAGGAGGTAACCTTTGAATTTTACTTTGAAAGGTAAGTTACTACCCACCTGTAGGCAAGTGAAAATTGCCCTAGTGTAGGTATCATGTAATACTTTAGGTTGCTCAACCTGGAAAGTGGTGGAACAAATACGTAGATGAAACCAGTAAGAGACTTGCAAAGATTTATCTTTTCAAAGTGCCCATTGGAAAAAGAACCTACTCTGCTGTAGGAAACTTGAAGTGCTTAGGAGGAGGGAACCATATCCTTTCTCATTGGTGGTGGTGTGCTGACTTGTTATTAAAACCTTTTCTGGGGCCGAGGATTTAGCTCAGTGGTTCTGCCAAAGGCCTCACAAGCACAAGGTCCCGAGGTACCAAAAAAAACCCCAAACTACCAGCTCCCAGAAGAGGGGCACTGAATGCTTTACTGTAGGAAGTGCAGTCCCTGCTGAAGAAGTTTAAAGTCATCTAAGACAGTTCTGCATGGGTGAGACTGGAGTGAGTAGTCCACTTCATTAGACTGTATTTTTCCTGGTTTTGTTCTCAGGCATAGTTGAGTGCAATGGAGGCGTGGCTGAAGAGGATGAGGTGGAGGTCATCCTCGCCCAAAAGCCTACTGCTGATCAGGAAGTGCCAAGGGAATCTGTCTTGCCTGAACAATCCCCGGGAGAATTTGACTTTAATGAGTTCTTTAACCTTGATAAAGTTCCATGCTTGGCTTCGGTGAGTATAGGAGCACAGTTATAAATGTGGATGGAGCAAACAGTAAAGTTGTATTTGTCCTGAGTATATATGGTACTGTTTGGTTTTTTTATATGCTTATGTATTTATTTATTTTGAGGCAGGGTCTCACTATGTCACCCAGGGAGGCCTCAAACTCCTGGGCTCAGGCAATCCTCCTGCTTAAAGTATTGCTTGTTAGATGCTATTGGATTTTTTGGCTTTTCTCAAATTTGAATTTTGCTTTGAGAGGCTTAACAGAAATGACTAAATGAGAATTCTATACAAGTTAACACTTTTTCCAGCCTGTTAGCATTGGACTAAAAACCCTTCAGGTGTTTAAGAACATTGTTTCCTTTTATTTACCTATTTACTTTTTTCTTTTTTTGAGCCAGAATCTTACAGTGTTGCCTGGGATGGCCTCATACTCTTGGATTCAAGTGATCCTCCTGCCTCAGCCTCCTGTGTAGCTGGGACTACAGGCACATTCTACTGTACCCAGCTGTCTCTTTTTTGTTAGTTTGTTTGGGGGTTTTTTTGGTACCGGGGATCAAACTCGGGACCTTGTGCTTGTGAGGCAGGCAGCGGAACCACTGAGCTAAATCCCTGGCCCTGTTGTTTTGTTGTTTTGTTTTGTTTTGTTTTTTAATGTGCTACTCAGGATTGAACTCAGGGCCTCAAACATACTAGGCAAGTGCTCAACTGTTGAGCTATATGCCCTTTTTATTTTGAGACAGGGTCTTGGTAGGTTGCCTAGGGTCTCACTAAGTTGCCCAGGCTGGCCTCAAACTTCAGTCCTGCTCAGCCAACCAAATAGCTGGGGCTGCAGGCATGCACCACTGCATCTGGCTTCTTTTATTTTAAATTATTTGTTATGAAGACTTACTGTGAAGTGGCTTTTTTTAATAACTGGTGACTGGTGTCACACTGACCTGCATTCCTTGGGTGAGGCACCCAAGGTGAGGCATCCTGATTTGGTGATGCCTTTTATGATGTTATGATGTGATGGTTCCAAAAGCCTTTAGTGAAAAAGAACCAGGGATGCTTCCAAGTGTTGCTGTTAAACTCTTTTTTTTTTTTTTCACAGCTGTTAAACTTTTGAGGTCTCCTTCTGGACTTCTAAACTAGAAACCATTAGCCCTCCCTAAATAATTATGGCCTGTGTACACAAAATGACATTTTTCTGTGATTGCCAAAAGCATTCATAGAACTGTATCAAAATAGAATTTAAAAAACAGTTTACAAAAATCTGTATACTCCAGATATCCCATTTGCAACACTAAATGCATGAGTTGACCAGTCCTTAAGAATTGGTGATTCATGGAATTGAACTTAAATGACTACTTAAAACTATAACTCGTCCTTGTTTGATTACTGTATGTGTGGACAAATTGGGCACAACAGAGCAGTCAAGATTAACCTGTTTCCTTTTACATTTGCCTGCTCTCCTACACCCAAAAGACAGCCACCCAGAATAAGTGAGCCAACACTGCATAGCACTGATGATAGGTATAGGGCCATATATGAGTTCTAGGGAAATACTTCTCTTTGTTCGTTTTTTGAGACAAGGTTTCACTGTGTAGTTCAGGCTGACCTCAAACTCACTTTGTACCCCAGGCTGACATGAAGTCACAGTCCTCTTGCTTCAACCTTCCAAGTGCTGAGATTATAGGCATATTCCACCATGCCCAGTTTTTTTTTTTCTTTTTAATGTGATGCTAGGGATTGAACCCAGGGCCTTCATATTGAGCTATATCATCTGCCCTTTTCGGGGAAGTCGGGGAGGAGTGTCTTGGTAAGTCACTAAGTTGAATAGACTAGGCTTGAACTTGCAATCCTGCCTCAGCCTCTTGGCATGCTGAGACTACACCCAGCTGATACTTGTTAAATTCTTTGTCATTATTATAAAGTACAAATGTCACAGCAACATCAAATTGCTATAAGAGTTTCTAAGTATTTACTCTTTTTCTTTTTTTCTTCAAATCAAACCCAGTACTCTACTACTAAGCTACATTCCTAAACTTTTTGGTTTTTTTATTTATTTATTTTATTTTTATTTTTTTGGTTTTTGAGACAGGGTTTCACTATGTAGTGGAGGCTGGCCTTGAACTCACTATGTAGTCCAGGCTGGCCTCGAATTTGTGGCAGTCCACCTGCCTCAGCTTCCTGAGTGCTAGCACTACAGCTGTGTACCCCCAGGCCCAGCTTGCTTTTTTTTTGAGATGGTCTCATTAAGTTGCCTAGGTGGAATCAAATTTTTAATCCTCCTGCCTTGGGCTCCCACAGTGCTGGGACTAGAGGTGTGTGCCACCATACCTGGTTTATTCTTGAAGAAAGTGACGATTTTTTTTTTTGGTACCGGGGATCAAACTCGGGTCCTTGTGCTTGCGAGGCAAGCAGCGGAACCACTGAGCTAAATCCCCGGCCCACTTGGTTTATTCTTTATGAACTTATCTCAGTGCAGACCAGTATGGTCCTGGACCACATTTGTCTATAACATTTGTCAAGAGCATGTGAAATGTGGTTTCAAATCAACTGTGATAACTGTCTGCCTGATTTTGTCCCTAAAGTTCTTGAATAGCAATTTTAATTGTTAAGTATTCTAGTCAGATACCTCACTTACTCTTCTAACCAGTAGTCCTCTGGTTCACCTTAAACACAAGGATCACATCCAGATCAAGTATATAATTACTTGACATAAAACTGTGTGGTCCTCTAAATTCTTAACTTCTACAGGTACAGTATTGTTTTTACATCAACTGTTTTGTGACTTTTTTTTTTGCATTCTCTAAGACAGATGGAAATCTTATTGTTCAAAGTTTTCACATCAGAAGGTCAAATTTTAGAGACCTGTACTTGCTCCAAATGTTAGCACCTGCAAAACTCACCTGTGTGCCTAGGCAGAGGAAGAATTCACTCTTTAATCCAAACAAAGTGCTAATGAAGCCTAAACTTTAATAATAACAGGTAACATACATACACTGCTGATTGTTTACAGCTTTATTTACAGTAAGTCACTTAATCGTCACACATCCCTTATGAATTGGTATAGTACATTTTCCATTAACAGATGAGGAAATAGGCACAAAGTCATACAGCTGTTAGGTGGTGAAAACGGAATTCATTTTTTCGTTGTTTTTTTTTTTTTTTGGTTCCGGGGATTGAACTCAGTTGGGACCTTGCACTTGTGAGGCAGGTGGCAGAACCGCTGAGCTAAATCCCCGGCACTGAAGGCCATACTTTTTTTTTTTTTGGTACCAGTGCTCGAACTCAGGACCTTGTGCTCTGAATTCTAATTTATGCAGTTTCTACTCTTAACTCCCCACAACTGTACTGCCTCTAAAAAACAGAAGGAAGACTAGGGACTTGGCCTTGTCTTGTGCTTTGGCCTTCACTGCCAGACAACATCTAACTAATGCTGAACAAGTTAGTACTAGGCCAGGAAGTCTATCTCCAATTTTTCTCATGGAGGTTCTACTCGTGGTATATATTATAGTATGTATCCTACAATAGATTCACTTGAAATTAAAATGGGGTCAGTGAAAAACAAATGCTCTGATTGTACTGTATAACAAGCTGAACTCTTAATGCATGATGCTGAGAAAATGACGGACTTGGAAAAATAAAAAAAACTATAAAGGATTTGAGTATCAATTGACAGATGTCACAAATGTGATATATGTGTAAAGTGCTTAAAACAATACCTGACAGTAAATTCCACAAACATTGGATATTAATTATAAATATAACTTTATAACAAAGCTGAAAAGGTACTTTCTTTTGTATAACTTGATCACGTACTGGGCTACAAAGGAAACCTCAATGAATTAGTTTCATTCAGAAAAACATTTATCAAGCAACTTGAGGTTCTGAACACTATTCCTAGGAACAAAAGTTATAGTAGTAAACACAATAAAGACCTTGTCCTCACACAACTTATATTCTAGCAGAGGAAACAGATGAAAGGGAGAGAGAGAGGGAGAGAGAGAGAGAATGAGAGAATGAATATGAAAATGAGAATATGTTTTTTTTTTCTTTCAGTACTGGGAATCAAACTCAAGACCTTGCCAGCCAGGCATGGCGCTGCTGAATTACATCCCCAGCCCTGGAATATATGTTATATATTGTATATAGACACATATATGTGCATATATTTGCAGTCTATGTTCATTGATATTGCAATACCTTTAGAAATTAACAAGTTGAGAATATACAAAGTGAAAATGTGGATCACATTAGCAAATAATTAATTGAAACTAAGTTTAGGATAGGATACAACTTTTTGTTTTTCTTTGTTTTTTGAGATGGGGTCTCACTGTGTTGTTCAGGCTGCCCTTGAACTTGCAATGATCCTCCTGCCTCAGCCTCCCAAGTGCTGGTATTATCAGCATATGCCACCACACCTGGCATGGATCCAACTCTTAAATTATTATAGTGCTGACACTAAACAGGTGGTTGAGTATGTTAACTAAAGAAAAAGGAAATCTGGTACAACCCTTGCCTGGCATGTATTAGACACTGGGTTTAATCCTCAGTAACAAAGAGGAAAAAAAAGAAAAAGGAAGTCAAAATGGAAATCTTAAACTATTTAGAATGATTAGCAAGAACATGACATAGAACCGTAGTCATATAATCAAAAGTATGCTCAGAAGAAAATATTGCCTTCAGGGGCTGGGGATTTAGCTCAGTGGTTCCACCGGCTGTTTCGCAAGTGCAAGGTCCTGAGTTCAGTCCCCAGTACCAAAAAAAAAGGAAAGTAATCAAAGAAACCAAGCATTAATAAGACCAAGTAACTGTCAAAGAGCAAAACTATTTCACAATGTGTTTTCTCATCATATTGTGAATCCAGGGATATGACTTGTCTGAACTGTTTAGGACCAGACTAATAGTCATATAGGTTACCTTAAAAATGCTATTAAAAATCTAAGGATTAAAAAAAAAAAATCTAAGGATAGCTGAAACACTAGAATACAGTTCCCAGGCTCCTCAATAAGAATATAGGTGAGGATGCCTTGACCCAGAAATAGCTGTGAGTCCAGGTCTCCATTTCCTATACATCATACAGGTGGGAGCCTCAGCTGTTAGTGTCCTAGCTTGCTCTGTGGTAAAAATAACTGAGTAGATAAACTCATAGGATTCTTTTCAGGTTTAAAATCTTTTAGTGCTAGGTGAAGTGGCACACTCCTGTAATCCCAGCAATTTGAGAGGCTCAGGAAGGTGGATCACAAGTATGTCCTTAAGCCATCATTTTTCCTACTTGTAAAAATTAAAGTTTTTTTCAACAGCGAAACATTTTGAGTAACTGTAGCTTTTCATTGCTTCTTTTATAATTCTGATTTATTACTAAAATGGTTGTATTTTATGTACAATTCTCAATTTTTCCACTGAAAATCAGTTATAATTTTTTCTTCAGTTCATGCAAAATTAATGCACTTGAAAGTCATATTTAAGGTATGATAATCTATAAGTGCAATGCTATTGAAACTATCTGAATAATTCTTCTAAAAATAGAAATTCCAGAAACAAATCAAATTAGTGTTTGAATTTAAATCCTTTCACGAGAAAATTTAAATTTTTGGTTTGTGTATAGATTATGAAAACATTCTAGATGAGAACAAAATAAATTTAGGCCACCTGCAGTGATAAGTGCCTATAATCCTACCTACTTAGGACAGGAAGATCAAAAATTCAAGGCCAATGTAGGCAATTTAGTGAGGGCCTGTCTCAGAATAAAAAGAGCTATACATGTAGCTCACTAGTAGAGTTCCCTTGCAATCTCCAAGACTACAAAACACAAAAAGTAAATCTAGCCTTCTCTTGCTGAACATTGACTGGAAACTTGGTTTTAAACTTCAAGTAAAATAAAATTACTAATTCTGTTGCACAGAAAAATTAATGTATATATTTAACTGGACTTAATAGGATAGAATTGAAAATTCATATTTTAAAAAATACCGAAATCTAGTTTTTAGAAAAGATTGGCAATATAAATAACTATTATGAAATAATATTGAAGAAATTATTTCTGACAATAGTGCATCCATCATTTACTTGCCCTTATTTTTTTTTTTCATTTTTAGTTTTTATTTGTTATTTTCAAAATTATTTTTTCTCACATTTTTAATTTTTGTTTGTTTGTTTTGGTACTGGGGATCAAACTTGGGTCCTTGCACTTGCACAGCAGGCGGCAAAACCACAGAGCTAAATCCCTGGCCTCATTTTTAATTTTTTATGGTTTTTTTTACTTTTTCAAATATTTTCTTTCTTCTTTTTCTTTTCCTTTTCCTTCTCTCTTTCTGTCACTCTCTCACCCACATTGTTCTTCATCTCCCTTTTTGGTACTGTTCCTGCCCTAATTAAGATTTCTTCTTTCTTTTTCTTTTTTTTTTTTTAAATTTTATTTTATTGGTACATTTTAGGTACTTGCCCTTTTTCTTAAACCAAAACTGTGGAGATTAGATTTTTTTTTTTTGAGACAGGGTCTTGCTGTGTAGTTCAGGGTAGCCTTGAACTATGTAGCTCGGGCTAGCCTTGGACTCACTGCAGTCCTCTGCCTCAGCCTCTAGAGTGCTGGGATTACAGATATGTGATATACCACACCTGGTTGGAGGTTGAATTTAAAAAGCAAATACCTATAAACTTCCCCTTACACTCCAATAAATTAGAGATCTATTAAAATAACATCTCTCCCATTCTGACATTTTCTAAATTTTACCTTGGAATTATGATCTTTGAATCTACTTTTGTAGCTTTTGGCTTTTGAAGTTGTCTGGACTGAATTTCACGATGTTCCTTATATCCTTGAAACTACCAAGTTTGAATGGAAGATTTTCTTTCATCAGTTCTTCAGACTTGGTGTTTAGTTTAGTGCTGGCGCTATTTAGAGACTGAATCCTCTAGCACATGCCTAATAATTCTACCACTCAGGAGGCTAAGCCAGGAGGATGCCAAGTTCTCGGCAAGCCTGGACTACATAGCAAGACCATGTCTCAGAAAAACCAACAGAGAAAAGAAACTAAGTCTCTGAGAACATTTGGTAGTACATGGATTTTCTGAGGCAAAAGATGTAAAACCAAACTACTGTGTGGCATAGAGGCTTGACTATATATATACCTATTAGAAAGTATATGGTTTATTGTGCCAAGTTTAAGATATTTAGAAATGACCCAGGAAGGGAAAGAAAAAGGTTCAAAATCCTAAATTTTTTTTTTTTTTTTTTTTTTGGTACTGGGGATCGAACTTGGGTCCTTGTGCTTGCACAGCAGGTGGCGAAACCACTGAGCTAAATCCCTGGCCCCAAATCCTAAATTCTGAGACTGTTTACCTTCAGGTCAGCATCATCACGAAAGTTTCAAAGTAAGTGACCCTTTCTTAAAATTTGAATGTGTCCTGTTTTGCCTGAAAACGATTATCTTTCCTTCAGATGATAGAAGATGTTTTGGGAGAAGGGTCAGTCTCTGCCAGTCGGTTCAGTAGGTGGTTCTCTAATCCAAGCCGATCAGGAAGCCGATCCAGCAGCCTTGGGTCAACACCACATGAAGAGTTGGAGAGACTTGCAGGTAAACTGATTAAGATTTTGGCCTTGAATGTAGACTTAGCTTTCTCTGACATTGTGTTCATTTTGCCTTTTTTTTTTGAGGTACTAGTAATTAAATCCAGCATCCAATGCCTTCCACATGTCAAATACTACCACTTAGCTACACACCTAGCCTTTTTATTATTTTCTTTGTGTTACTAGGGTTTAACCTAGGGAATGCTAAGTTATATCCCTAGCCTCTTTTATTTTGAGACAAGGACTCACTGAGTTGCTCGGGCTGGTCTCAAGTCCTCCTACCTCAGCTCCTGAGTAGCTGGAATAACAGGCTTGCACCACTATGCCCAGCTTTAATTTTGTCTTCATTTGTCAGGGGTCCATTAGGATCGTAGTGTCTCTGAATAATGAATAGCTTTCAATTTGTGTCCTTTTAAACTGCTGGAGATAAGTTTCTCTGCTTTATTGAGACCAATTATGAATATGTTGTTTTGTATTATCAGGTCAATATGTTTATTTGTATTATCAGGTCTGGAGCAAGCTATCCTTTCTCCTGGACAAAACTCAGGGAATTATTTTGCTCCTATACCATTGGAAGACCATGCTGAAAATAAAGTGGATATTTTAGAAATGCTGCAGAAAGCCAAAGTGGATTTAAAACCTCTACTTTCCAGCCTTTCTGCAAATAAAGAAAAACTTAAAGAGAGTTGTAAGTGTTTATTGAGAATCTGCTTTAGATAATCTAAAAAGGTTTGAATTGTCCTGGGGCTAATATACTGCTGTTGCATCAAGTCAAATATACAGTGGGTTTTGTTTAACAATCTTGAAAAGGACTCATTTTATCAAACAGTACCTCCTTTTGGGGGAATCTGACAGGCAATGGGTCGTCACCCCATCATAAGAACTATTCCTCCAAGTTCTTAGCTTTGGCCTGATTTAATACTACATTGAATGTTTCAGTTCTCTCCAGTGTATCTTGCTAGTTCTCACTACTTTGTTCCAATCTGCCATGTTCTTGTTTAGGGTATAAGTCCTCAATACAGCAATTACTGCTATAGTAACCTCAGTCCATGGCCAGGGATTTAGCTCAGTGGCACCGCACCTGCCTTGCAGGCGCAATGTCCTGAGTTTGAATCCTGGTACCAAGAAAAAAAGAAAAAACACCACAGTGCAGTTAGCAAGCCTGGTGATATTCAGCTCTTGGGATTTCTGTGCCTAGTAACCACTCTCCAGAAGACCCATTTACACAGCAGGATCTTTGTAAGTCTGAAAGCCTAGCACCTTGTGGGTGTGGTTCTCATTTCTAGTATCTAAATTTAATTTTAGTTTATTCCATCACTTACTAAATACAAAATTGCAGCCTTATTCCCACTAAGTAACTGTGATTGTGAGTGTTTACAGTTTGCCTGCTTTCAGTGTCAGCCTCACTTCAATTAGGAAATTATCTGGGCTGGGGATTTAGCTCAGTGGTTTTGTTGCCTGCTGTGCAAGCGCAAGGACCTGAGTTTGATCCCTGCTACAAAAAATAATAATAATAATTATGAAATCATCTTCATCTTAACCATCATGATAGCCAAAAAGAATTCCAACCAACTATCCCTTTTCTTGGTTTAATCAATATTTTCTCACTTTTCAGCACATTCAGGGGTTGTGCTTTCAGTGGAAGAGGTAGAAGCAGGGCTCAAGGGCTTGAAGGTGGACCAACAAGTAAAGAATTCAACTCCCTTCATGGCAGAACACTTAGAGGAGACCCCGAGTGCTGTAACCAGCAATCGACAACTCAAGAAAGATGGAGATATGACTGCATTTAACAAGCTAGTGAGCACCATGAAGGCAAGTGGGACTTTGCCTTCTCAGCCCAAAGTCAGTGTAAGTATTTGACACAAACCTCACCCAACCTTTTCTCCCTTTCTCTCTTTCTGTTTCACAATGAATGGATTTTTAAAAAGGTATTCTGAGTAAGTTGTACATTCTTTAGTAGTCGTTTGGTCCTTGATGCTTTTGTGTGTTATCAATATGCTGTTCCTTACTAGAAAAAGCAAGCTGGGGGCGGGGGGGGTGAGTGACAATAGAAAGATTCAGTTTTATGTAATACCTGCATAACTTTATTAAGTTACTGCTTAAAATATAAAACTATCTTTTTAGATGAGCTCCAGAGGAAGTATTATGGTTATTCAGCTACTTCAGTTCATATAACTTCCCATATTTTTATAGTAAAATCTTTCTTTTCACACTTTCTAATTCCTGCTTTTTTTTATGGGGGGGTACGGGAATCGAACTCAGGACCTTGCTTTTGGGAGGCAGATGGCAGAACCACTGAGCTAAATTCCCGGCCCTCCTGCTTTTTTGATTAGGCAGTTGACAGTAATACAAATTATTAGGTCAACGTATTTAAGATATTTTGAGACAGTTGTATTCTGTTAATTTACTAATGGAAAAAATCTGACTTTTTTTTTAACTTTTGGGCATGAGGTTAGGTTACAAGGTGACTGACAACATTTCAATAAATGCACATGTGTAACATCACTGCTCTTTGTCATAATAACGCTTGGTGATTCTTGGTGATAGCCTGTGTGTTAAGCAGTGCTACCCCTTGATGATACAAAGTGATGGAGAGGCGGGTAGCTTTGAATAATTAAAACAAACATAACTATTCTAGTTGCTAAGCTTTAGCACATTGATCTAGTCAAATCTTGCCTCTTTTTTTCTCCTGGTTCCTTTTTTGAGAATTACAAATAGCCCAAGTGTGAAGAGGAATATCTGATTCACTACACCTGTTACCTAGAGAAAGCAACTGATTTTTAGCCTTCCTTATCTGACCAACAGCTAGTGAGACTTCAACCTGAAAGGGTCAGACTGAGGTGCCGTTATTCCTGGCCTTAGTGCTCAGGCTGATTTTATACCTCTGAAAGAACACACATCTCAGAAAGATAGGCTTAATGTCTTTGTCTATCAGACCGCATCATACCAATTACAGGGGAATATTCTTGTAAACTGCATTAGAATTATTTCCATACAAAGAATTATTAAATACAAATGCTCTCAAATGAAGACCAGATTGAAATGTTGGAACTATATAATCACCCTTTCTTGTTACCTTTATGTCTTGGTGATTGGGTGCTGTCTGAAGTGGTGTCAGTCAAATTGTGCAGTCAGCTTTTTTCTTTTAGTGTGAATAACTAAGGAAATGCAGACAGGTATGCAGCAGTTTGTTTTAGGCCTGTGTTTCTAGGATATTGACATAACTGAGCCTGAGTTGTGAGGGTACTTAGTTTGATACTGAGGTTTCAGTTCTTTGAAGTATATCGGGTTTCAGCTGAGGGAATGTGCTTCATATATCTCCTAAGAGAGCAGATGATACAATTTAAGTAGGTGGGCAAAGACTAACACAAAATCTACCTAACCTAGGAAAGAAAACAAGGAAAGTAATGCAATAAGTATACCGGGTATAATCCATAGTGCTTGATTTTCATGTTAGGTCCTGTATTTCTAAAATCAATGTCTTTAATTACTACCTCTGTGTTATGTATACTGTATCTTATCTGCCTCTTCTGTTAGGTTCAATCATATTGTTTATCCCAAAATAAAACATGTTGGTTTAGTCTATTTTAAGTGGAATTATAGATTCTATCCTCTAAATATAGTAAGGCATGTAGTATAAACTTGCCTCTTTGTTATACTTAGGTGGAACCAAATATCTCTTGAGATTGTTTATTAAAATCATTTGTATTTAGTACCAATTCCAAAACCAACAATAAACATTTGAGTATCTTTGGGCTGTTTCACACCTAGGACACTGCTGTGGACTCTGCCAGCTCCACCTAGTGAAAGCAAAGTTTCTGGTACAGTTGTAGCAGAAAGAGCACCTTTTTATTTGTTGGGGTTTTTTTTTGGTACCGAGGATCAAACTCTGGTCCTTGTGCTTTCTAGGCAAGCGGCAGAACCACTGAGCTAAATCCCCGGCAAGAGCACTTTTCTAAAAGGCTGAGCTAAATGGAGATAGGAATTTACTAAAGTACAGGTGGGAATGCAAGTTGGATATGCATTGAAAGCAAAGAGTGGAGGATTTGAACTTTGTCTTACATAAGAGACCTATTTTGATAGCTACTTTTAAATTAGTAAAATTTAATTTTCCTGAAACAGACTAAAATATAATTCTGGCCAAATTTGCATACTGTCTAAGTTTTTAATACCATTTCTGGTCAGTAAACCTTCTTAAAGGTATAAAGGGTAGCAAGGATTTCCTCAAAAATTAAAATCTAAATTATCACAATTTCTTCTGACATACTAAAAATGTGCTCCTCAATTGTCACCATTTTCATTTCTCTTCTTTTGCTCACAACATTAGAAACAGTGAGATGGAGTCAGATATGGTGGTACCTGCTTATAATCCCAGAATGTGAGGCAGGAGAATCATGAGTTCAAGGCCAGCCTGGACTACATAGTGAATTCAAGCCTGGCCTGGATTACATAGTGAGATCCTGGCTGAAAAAAAGGGAAAAAGAGGGCCAGGGATTTAGCTCAGTGGTTCCGTTGCTTGCCTTGCAAGCGCAAGGACCCGAGTTCGATCCCTGGTACCAAAAAAAAAAGGGAAAAAGAATGATATGGCCCAGTGTTAGCAACAGAAGGATCTTGGAGTGGGCTCTGCATGTGCCTGTAAGAGTCTGTCCAGCTGGCTATGGTGGCATACACTTTTAATCTTAGCATTCAGGAAGGCTGAGGCAGGAAAACTGCAGGTTCAACCCCAGCTGGGACACCTTAGTAACTGAGAAACACCCTATCGCAAACAATAAAAATAGGACTAGGGATGTGGCTCAGTGTGAAGGCCCTGGGTTCAATCTCCAGTACCATGGAGGGAAAAAAATGTTTTTCCATTCCCAGGTCTTTAGGACCTGTGTGATGAGAGGAACAAGTTGGTCTAAATTAGTTTTCTGTGACTTGAACATTATTTTGTTGTCAACTTCTGTGAATGTTTAATACTTTCTTGTGGCTCCCAATTAATGTATAAGTTATATGTGTTAAAGTTAAAACTAGTTTTTCTTTGACTTTTTTAGCGAAATCTTGAAAGCCATTTGATGTCCCCTGCTGAGACTGCAGGCCAGCCTGTCCCTAAGAACATCCTGCAGGTATGGTTCAATCTTAGACTAAGGCCCTAGAGCCTCTGAACTGGTTTTGTGTAGTGGTCCAGGTTTGGGCCTTAGATAATGATCCATGTTGCCTGGTAATTATGGACGTCATGTTGCTGCCTCATATAGTAATTAATATATTGCTCTTAATCTCAGTGGGGGGAGGAAGCATATAGGGTGATTTAAAAAGATGACAGAGCAAGCCCTTGATTTCTAGCTTGCAGGTTTGCAATTCTGTGAACTTAAAGTAGCTAAACTTTTTTTTTTTTGGTACCAGGGATCAAATTCAGGACCTTGCACTTGAAAGGCAGGCACAGTGCTACTGAACTAAATCCCCAGCCCAAAAGTAGCTAAACTATTTGTACCACTAATTTATTTATTTTTAATTTTATTTTGGTACCAGGGATCGAACTTGGGACCTTCCGCTTGTAAAGTAGGTGGCGGAACCACTGAGCTAAATCCCCTGTACCACTAATTTAAAGCAAACGTTGCTAGCTGAACATGCAGAGAAATGTGTTCTGTGCACATATGCCAGGTCTTTCAATAAAGCATCAAGAGGCTTCACTGTCTGACTTCCAAAAGTTAGTCTATAATCCATAGTTTCTGACTAAACAGAAGAACTAGGTTTTTTCACATGCATTTGGTTTTTTTGCTATAGGAACTTCTGGGTCAACCAGTTCAAAGACCTGCTTCCTCCAATCTTCTGAGTGGCCTTATGGGGAGCTTGGAGCCTACTGCATCTTTACTGGGCCAAAGAGCACCCTCACCTCCTGTGTCACAGGTGTTTCAAACTCGGGCAGCCTCAGCAGACTACCTTCGTCCAAGAATACCATCACCAATTGGTAACTGGATGATTTTTTTGCAGTGCTGACATGGAACCCAGGGCCTTGCACATGACATGCTAGGCAAGCACTCTACCCTAAGCTACATCCCCAGCGTAGTAACTACTCTGAACCACAGATGTCTGCTCCCCCTAACACAAACACACCTTATACATATCCCTTAGAACTGACAGTCTGAGTTTTAACAGAAATATGTAAATTTATTATACTTTTTGGGTGGAGGTGTGGGGTAAATGTGGAAGATAGCTTATTTAGCTATCTTTCATGGTATGTTCATGTTATATTTTTTCTTGAAATTAATCTAAATTGGGATAGCTCTTTAATCTTCTTATTTGGGGAATTCAGTCCCACAAAGTTAATTGGCTTCTTAGATTTTTCCTTGATAAAGAAGTTGGAGTAGTGGCTGTCTACCAAGCTGTTGAGGTTGAGAGACAATGAGTTACGAAATCTTGCAATTAATTTAGAATGTGACTTAAAGAAGCACTTCCAGAAAGCTGTTCTAGCAGTGTCATAGTGTTTCTGCCAGCCTGGCGGTGAGTGGCTGCTGCCCACTCACCTTTGTTAGTCATACCTTGAGAGGCAGTTTTTGGAATGATCTTTCCACAGTCGGGGAGATAGAATTCTGTGGAAAAAGCACTGAGCTTTACTTTGGTACCAGCTGGATTAGTGAGCATGGCCAAATGGCTGCCTGGAAAAGTTCTCTCCCAGAGAGGTATTAGCTCTGAAAGGGATAAAGGTGATAGCTTAGTGGGGAAGATGGTTATACCAGCAGTTTGGGCAATTATGTACTCGAATGGAGGTTCACATAACCCACTGTGAGACAACAAGGAAGAGGGTTGTCCTTCAGCCCAGGGGATCAGTACTTCCTAGAAGAGAGTTCAGTGGGGAGGAACGTGCATTAGTGATAATACTGCCCTGATGCACGAACATGATCTTGACATTCATTCATTCTGTAACTTTCCTGACAGGTTTCACACCAGGACCACAGCAACTACTTGGAGATCCATTCCAAGGCATTCGAAAGCCCATGAGCCCTGTCACAGCTCAGGTCAGGCTGAACTCTTTCTCATACCCAATCTCTTGCTTGGTTTTTCATCCATATTGTTGCTTGTGGAATGGAGAATTGAATTGCTACAAGGCTTAGAAGTGGTTTTGCAGCAGTGGAACACTTTTTTTTTTGAGACAGGGTTTCACTGTGTAGTTCAGGCTGGTCTTGAACTTACTGTGTACCCCAGGCTGGCCTCAAACTCAGTGATCCTTTTACCTCAGTTTCCCAAGTGCTGGGATTACAGGCATGTGCCACCATGCCCAGCTAAGAGAAACTCTTATCGTTTGTTTTGCAGTGGTCTTATAGTTCAACTTCAGTGAAGGCTAGAAAAATGCTAATTAATTAAAATAATATTCAAATACTGTTCAGTAGATAGGTTGCATAATTTAGTAATTTCCACTATCTAATTTTTCCCAGTTACTGCTCAAATGTACCCATGAGAGATTTTTGTAGAAAGTGCGTTGACTGTCTTCTCTCTTCCACTGACCCTCCCTACCTCTTCTGTCCAGCAGATTAGCCAGCTAGAGTTGCAGCAGGCAGCTTTGGAGGGGCTAGCCCTGCCACATGACCTTGCAGTACAGGCAGCAAACTTCTACCAGCCAGGTTTTGGCAAACCACAGGTGGACAGAACCAGAGATGGATTCAGAAACAGGTAAATTACTAATGCTACTCATGTGAATTTGGGTACTAATTTGCAGATTTTCTTAAAATTAGTAAACTAGTTATCTACAGTATAATTCTGTTGCACATGCTGATATGTTGTACAATATAAGGGAAGAATCAAATATCAGTAAAGGAAATAATATGATTGAATTCTGTTGCAGGGACATTGGGGTTTTTTGGGGGGTTTTGTTTTGTTTTGACATTGGGTTTTTTATCCTACATGGTTTTATTTATATTCTTGATTTATAAAGTACTTTTTTTGTTGTTTTGGTTTGCTAATTAGTCATGGAAAGGGTACTGCTTACCTAATTTCCTTTACAAAAAACCCTGTGAAGTTTCTACCAATTAAAACTTCAGCCTCATCCATTTTCTTTTTTGCACTACTAGGAATTGAACCCAGGGCCTTTGCAGTGAGCTACATCACTGGCCCATTTTTTATTTTTGAGACAGAGTCTTACTAAATTGCCAAGGATGGTCTTGAACTTGTGATCCTCCTGTGTCAGCCTCCCAGAGTGCTGGGATTACAGGTGTGCTCCAGCATATCAGCTAAAGGATTTCATTTCTACATAATGTAACCTGCACAGCTTCTCACCTGCAGTCATACTTTTGAGATGATGAGAAGCAAAAATCCACCTAACTTCCTTTCCCCAAAGATTGCTTGTGTTATCTAACTTTGCCTTGGTGTACAATTGTTACATCAAGGGTTTGTGATTGATTAGAGCTAACTTTTTTTAATCAGAGCTGTTAACAAGTACTTACTGACTTTGTCCTCCTCCTCTTTGCTAGTTGGAACAAGTGAAATGAACTGTAAGTTTGGGAGAGATGAGAATGCAGTAGTAATATTGTTCTTTTTTGTTGTTGTTCTTTTTTATTGCAAAACAAAACACAAAAAATTTCATAAAACAAATGTGTAGCTTACAATAAGGCAAACCCTTTTATTAGTCATCTGGAAGCTGCCCATGGACTCTGCCAATTATACCCCTTTTCTCCCTCAGAAGTGAGTGACTATGAAAATAATACCTGCCTTAATTTTTGATGTACATCCCTGAACACTATTGTTTAGTCTTGCCTATAGAATAGTTGTTAATTAAGAAGTATTTAAGGCTAGATGTGGCTGTGCATGCCTATAATTTCAACTACTCAGGAGTCTAAGGCAGAAGAATCACAAGTTTGAGGGCACCTTGGGCAACTTGCCAAGACTCTGTCTCAAAAAATAATAAAGGGTTGGGGTGTAGCTCAGTAGTAACGTGCATGCCTTGCCATACATGCTCAAGGCCCTGGGTTCAATCCCTAGTGGGTACAGGGGAGAATAATTTATATTTTGATGGGATTTTTAGTTATCAGTGCATCAGTGTCTTGCTTCAGCTAGTTTTATCTGCTAACACTTTCAGAAGACAGTGCAACCAGGAAGTACCCTGGTATGAGTGCATCTTACCTGTAGTATTTCCTAGTCTTGAGTATTAAATGGTTTTAGGACTTGGAGTTTGAGTTGTTTGAGGCTCACACTGATAATTGCTCTGCTCACAGGCCACAGCGAGTGACCAAGTCACCAGCACCTGTGCACCGAGGGAATTCCTCTTCCCCAGCTCCTGCTGCCTCCATCACTAGCATGGTCAGTGACTCTTAGTGACTGTGTGTGACTCTTAGTGACTGTGTATGACTTTAAGATGTCTCTGGGTGTGCCTGTGTTGTGCACTATTGAGTGCCTTCCACAGGAATCCTGATCTAATAATCTTTCATACCTGCCTATTAGGTCTTCCTCTGATAGGTATAGTCTAATTCAGTGAGGTCCCTAAATTGGGGAAAGTATTCCAGCAGATAGATGAGCATGGGCCAGGGCACACAGATGACATAGTATGTTTAAACAAATGAATCACTGGTATGGGAAGGTGAGAGGAGAACAATGAGAGACAGGAAGTGAGGCACACAGGGATGACAAGTCAGATCATGGCAGGTCCAGTGAACATGCTGAGGATTCACAAATTATTCAGGTCTCAGTGATTCAAACTCAGGCTGAACAAAAGCATTTGCTGCTTTTTTGGTGACCAGCCTAGTTTTATAACTGACTAGCATTAATTTTTAAATGTTTCATTCCCCCACAGAACTTATAGCTTAGAGCTGATAGACAAGCCAGGTGGTGCACGCCTGTAATCCCAGCCCTGTGAGAGCCTGAGAATTGTGTCTTTTCAACTTAGTAATTTAGCAAGACCCTGTCTCAAAATAAAAAAGGGTTTGGGATTAGCTCAGTGTGAACCCCCTGACCTCAATCCCCAGTACCACCACAAAAAAACCAAAACAAACAAAAAAACCTGATAGACAAGAGGAAGAAACTACTGCTGTGTGCTTTAGGACTCTGTGTGGATCTTTGTACCAAACACTTTTGAGGCACCTAGAAGGAGCTTTGGGCTCATTATTATGCCCTGTCTCCTGCCACCAGTGGTTTGGGGTAGTTCGATTAGAAAAGGCACATAATAAAATCATCAAAGTAGAAATAGAAAAGAGATGGGCAATAAATGATCCCAAGTGATGAATCCTAGTAGCTGAAGAGGCTAGTAAAATAATTGTGAATTTTCTGGTAGCCAAGTTAGGAAGAGAAACATTTAGAAACATGGAGTATTTAGGTTCTGAGGTTGTCTCTGAAATGTCCTTTCTCAGATGGAAAAGAGATACTGCTTCAGTATACAGTGCTTTTTTTTTTTTTCTTGGTGGTACCAGGGATCGAACTCAGGACCTTGCACTTGCAAGGCAGGTGTGGTGCCACTGAGCTAAATCCTGGGCCCAGGATATGGTACTTTTGACCATGCTCTTCTCAGACTAATCCTGGGCTGGAAACTATAAAGCAGAGCCAAATCCCTATAATCACAGAGTTATAAACAAGGGATGAAGCTCTGCCTATTTCTCTCTCTGTATTTCTTTTCCTTCAATAGCTACAGATCAAAACTTTGGAGTTGGCCTTTGCCACCATGTAGGCAACCTCTAGGGACTATTCACCTTGTTGAGTAGCATGGCCAATTCACCCTGGCTTGAAGTTAAGGCACATAGAGCGTGCTGATCGATGCCAAATGTTTTTCTCTGCAGCTTTCTCCTTCCTTCACCCCTACCTCAGTAATCCGGAAGATGTACGAGAGCAAAGAGAAAAGCAAGGAGGAGCCTGGATCTGGAAAAGCAGTTCCTGGTGACAGTAAAGAGGATACTCAGAAGGCTAGTGAAGGTACTATAGAGCTGTTGAGACTGTGCTGCTCAAGAAAATACATGACAGAGAGAACTTGCCCTGTCAGGTCAGTGCTGACCAGCCTGACCTGACCTGATTTTCTCCGGAGCCCTGGGCCCAACTGCTCACTGCTCTGGATCGGTTCTTTGTCACAGTTATTTAGTTGTTTGAAATTTTGATATACCTAAGAACTCTGTGAGTGCTAGTTTAAAAGAATGGCCTTTAGTTTACATTCTTAGTCATCCTCAAAGATGAATAATTAGTACATTTGACTTTTGGTTTTTGAGACAGTTTCACTATGTAGTTTAGGCTGACATCGAAGTCATTGTGATCCTCCTGCCTCACCCTCCCAAAGTTACAGGCATTACAGGCATGCGCTACCACACCTGGCCTTGACATATTATTGTAGTTTTACTTCTGAAAGGTTCTCTCTAGTGGGTGGAGAGTTAGGTGTCTAATAAAACCTGTGCCAAATAAGTATGAGAGCCTTTCAGAAGTACATAGAAAATGTGAAAGAGGCTTGTGAGTTGCACAGTAAAGATTATAAAGGACATGATGACACAGATTCCAGTAAGTTAGAGTTTAAACAGGTGTAGACTAATTGTCTACAATTAAAGGTCTTGCCTCTGTTTGAAGAGACTTGGTGGGAGAAGGAAAAAAATGGAAATCCTCTTGGTCTTAGGAGGTTGTTCAGATTCTTTGAATAGATTGTAATGGCCATTTAAATTTCCTGTTATAGATTGACATAATTTTACATAATAATTTAATTTAATTTTAATAATAATTTTACATAATTTTACACTTGCTTGATTTTTTTTTCCTTTGGCTAACAAGCATGTTAATCCCAAGCAGCTGCTGCTGATGGAGTTAGGCCCCATGTAGGTCCAGGCCCCAGCCATTTGGGTAAAGCAGAATGCTCAGCTAGTTAGACCACCAAGCCTGCTATGCCAGGCATTTCCCAATAGCTCTTCTTGTGTGAGGAGGAATATAAAAATAGATGTATGGGCTCTTTAGGAGATGTATCATTTATAGCTTCAGAGCCTCTGGTTAAAAATTAAAACTCCTTGTGGGTTGGGGGTGTAGTTCAGGGATAGAGTGCTTACCTAGCTTGTGAGGTCCTGGGTTGATCCCAGTACTGTTAAAAAAAAAAAAGTCCTCTATTCAAGAGTTGGTAGACCATAAGATTTGAGGGCTGTCCGTAGCTAGTCCTGTGACCTTCACTCACAGTTCATGTTGTAGGCCTATTTATAAGGCAAGTGATAATCCTACCATGCAGTCATCTGAACTTATTGAGATCAAATAAGAATTGTGACATTTTAATCCTTGTAATCCCACCTATGTGGGAGGGTAAGGCAAATGGACTGAGGTTCAAGGCCAATCTGGGCAACTTGAGACCTTGTCTCAGAATTTAAAAACATTTTAAAGGGCAAGGGTTGTTCAGTACCCCCAAGTTCAATCCTCAGTGCTGGGGAAAAAAGAAAGTTACTGGGCCATTAGGAAGCCAAAGTATTTGAGAAAGGTTTACCAATACTAAAATATTCTCTCTCTGGATCCTTACAGAGAACCTACTATCATCTAACTCCATACCTAATGCCGAACGAGACTCTTCTACAGCAAATCCCAAACTTCCAACATTACAGCGATCTTCGTGTTCTACCCCACTATCCCAGACCAACCGTTACACCAAAGAACAAGATTACCGACCTAAAGCAACTGGAAGGAAAACACCCACCTTGGCATCCCCGGTTTCAGGAACACCTTTTCTCCGACCTGTCCACCAGGTTCCTCTTGTTCCCCATGTCCCTATTGTTCGGCCTGCTCACCAACTTCACCCAGGGTTGGTCCAGAGGATGCTGGCCCAGGGAGTGCATCCACAGCATCTTCCAAGTTTGCTCCAAGCTGGTGAGTTTCTGATCTGACATGACATGCTGGCACTGATGAAGTGCTATCCTATGGGAGGTTTGCATCTCTTAAAAGATGTTAACTAGATTCTTCCATCTAGCTCTGGTAGGCAGTGGGTCCAGTCCATCACTTAGTCTGTTTTAAGATTGGGAACCTGGTTTGAGCATTTTTCAGCAAAACTGCAGTCAAACTTAAAACTTTCCAGGTACATTATGACTACTACTCAGCGGGGTTTTTTTGTTTTTGTTTTTTGAGACAAGATCAGTTCAGCTTGACCTTGAACTCACAGTGTAGCCTGGCTGGCCTCAAACTCACAGGAGTCCTCCTGCCTCAGCCTCCTGAGTATTGAGATTACAGGCATGCACCATCATGCCTGTGTACTCAGCAGTTTTTTTTTCTGTGTGCCTAATAGGTGTACTTCCTCCTGGGATGGACCTGACTCATTTACAGGGAATATCTGGCCCACTCCTGGGTCAGCCCTTTTACCCTTTACCTGCTGCTAGTCACCCTCTCCTAAACCCTCGTCCTGGGACACCTCTGCACCTGGCAATGATGCAACAGCAGCTACAGCGCTCAGGTAGGTTCAGGAATAGGGCAGGTGAGCTTGGAGTGGGCTGAGTAGGCTTTCAGGAAGTTTCCAATGAGATGAATTGACACACTTCATTTCTTAACTTGTCTTAGCAAGACTGGGGAAAGAAACAGCTAGAGAATAAAGTGAAGTAAACTGACCTCTGTGGGATGAGATTATTTTTTATGTAAAGACAGGAGGGCCCAATGTGCTATAGCTTTCTTTGTCCTTTACCTCTTAGGTGAGGAGTATAGGTTCAGCATAGGACCTGCCTGGGCTAGCTGCCCTCTCACCAGCTCATGTGCTGCTTTGATGGGCTGCTTGCCATAGGAAATAGTCATGTTGTCCAGGATGGATCTGCATTTTGCAAAGGAGTTTTCTAAAGCCCTATAATCCTCTGGTAAAGATTTTTTGGGGAGTTTTATGAATCAGTTTGAAGCAGTACCTAACAAAGTACTACTTTCCCCCCATGCTTTGAATAACCTTTCTTATCTCCATAGTTCTGCATCCTCCAGGCTCTGGGTCCCAACCCGCAGCTGTCAGCGTTCAGACTCCTCAGAATGTGCCCAGTCGCCCAGGCCTACCACACATGCACTCCCAGCTGGAGCATCGCCCCAGCCAAAGGAGCAGCTCCCCTGTGGGTCTTGCCAAATGGTTTGGCTCAGATGTGCTGCAGCAGCCCCTCCCCTCCATGCCTGCCAAAGTCATCAGTGTAGATGAATTGGAATACCGACAGTGAGCAGGCCAGGCAGGCTCATCCATGCCTGGACCTATGGTGGCACCCTGGTCAGGACTTTGCTGCCTCATCTTGGGTTGGTTTACTGGCTTTTACTTTGGAGCATTCTGGGTAAAGCTCTTAATGGGACACATGCACCTGGCATGGTTTGCATTATGACAGAAAGATCTTAACCAATGGAGTGGAGCCTACATGGTCTGAGTGCAGGATGCAGGGTTTTGTCAGTCCTGGAAAGTCTTTTCTTTTTTGTAAGATATTTGAATGAAGTGTTGTTGTCTTCACCCCAAGAGGTGGCACCTAAGGGTTCTGAGGAAATGTATAGACCCTTATGTACAGAACTATGTATAAACAACCTTTGTACATACATATAGGATAGATTTTTTTGAACTTATACAGCTGTACATAAAAGTAGCTGGTATTAGTTAAGCCTGTGTCAACAATTTGGATTTTTTTCACTTGTACATTTGGGACTTTTTCTTTCGGTTGATTAAAGTTGCAAATGCTAAGTGTGTGAATGAATTGAATGGCATTGTTTCTTTCCTCTCTGAATCCTTCCTCATTGCCAACAGCTGAGCCAAGAGGCTCAGGAGTCTTTGTGGAAAATGACCTGAAGTTCTAATTTTTCTTTAAAATTCATCCAGTTGAACTCTTTATCCTGATTTAGGATGAAGCAGCTTTGTCCTTTTATTGACCTTAAGGGCCCCATTATGGCAGTTTAGGCTGAGCTGTATGTAAGTAGTCTTGTGGCTAACACCAGGATACCAGTACATAATACGCAATTTTCAGAACTCACCTAATAAAAATAATTTGCTTATTTAGAAATCATGTATATGGTAGTTTCTCCCAAACAAATTATACTTATAGGGCCATCCTGTTTATCCAGCTCAGCTCTGATTCAGTCCATTAAAGGCTAATTTCTCTAGAACTTTCCTGAAGGCTCTGCCTATGTTAACTCCTTGTATAATGTACCTCATCTTTTCAACTCTGCTCTTTAACTTACAACCTTCACTGTCTACACAGTATCAGAGGAAAAGGATTCTATAGAACACTATAGGATCTTGAATCCCTTTTCCTAAAGGTTTTTCAGTCCTACTGATTTGACCTGAGAGTTCTCAAGCTCAAGTTAATTTGCTTGAATCCTAAATACATACCCATTTGGGGCTGTAAAAATTACTTTGGACTCCATGCTAGAGGGTGAATTAATGGGTCCATTTTCCAAGTCAAAGGTGAAGGGCAAGCCAAGTGTAGTGGTGCATGACTATCCATCCCAGCACTTAAGCTGAGGCAGGATTGCCCCAAGTTCGAAGCCAGCCTGGGCTACATAGTGAGTTCAAGTCCAGCCCAACTACATTAAGAGGGCAAGTGGTTGGATTTTGAGTGCAAAGATAAAACAGAGCCTATGGCTCCCAAGTGTTGAATGTTAGGATTGTTGACTATAAACCGGGACCTGCCCACTGCCCTATACCTCCAAGAACACAGGAAAGGTCACCTTTTAATAAAATCTGTTTTTGTGGATAGAACATGAGGTCAATCCCTTGCTGGTACTTTCCCTCAAACTCATTAGTTACCCTCTACCCCCTGCAATACCGTTCCTTTTCAGGGTGATTCCTCAGCTTCAGAGACCTGAGGAAAGGGTTCCACAAGTGAAAGATGGAAAGCACATCTAAATATCAGTGGCAGAACTCTTATGCCTGATTCTTGTTCCACTTTTCCTAAGTGTCCTAGTGATTTCCCCTTTGTGCTCATCATACAGTACTAGGTGTAGGGTGAGCAAGACTGGGCTGATTAGAAAGACAAAGCCAGAAGGAAATGAAAGTATTACTAAGGGTTATTCAGAAGATAACCGTGTGTTTTAATGAAGCTATTTTGGTATACAAAATGGAATGGCTGGAGGTGGAAGCAAAAGAAGGTAATAGTCTTACAAGAGTTGAGACAGAAGGGATACCTTAGCCAATAGAGTTGTTTGGAACAATTTTGGAATGTCCAGCAGGAATAGGACAAGTATAAAAGCAATAGAGTTGCTGTAGGTACAAATACAGTTTAAGAAAAACTAAGGATGTAGATGGAATCTTCAAAGTAAAATACATGAATGCCACAAAGAACCTCATGGAAAACCTGCCCTGAGAGAGGGGGGAGGTCAGAGAGGAAAGAACAGTGCCTCCCAAAGGAAGCAGCTGACCAGCTAGTGCCTGGCAGACATAGTTATCAAGTGGAGAGTGCAGCCGGGTCTTTCAGAATAGCTTAAGTAGGGCTGGAGATTTAGCTCAGTGGTTCCAGTGCCTGTCTTGCAAGCACAAGGTCCCGAGTTCGATCCCAGGTACCAAAAACAAAAACCAGAATAGCTTAAATGGTCAGCCAGGTTCTCTAAGAGGAAAGCTGGGTCCGCTGGCCCTTTCTTTGTGAAAGGTAGACAAGCACAAATACAATAAGGAATGAAGATAACTTACAGGATAAAATCTGCTTTAATAATTTATTCTCACTGGATGTGGTGGTGTACACCTGTAAACCCAGCACTCGGGAGGCTGAGGGAGGAGGATTGCTGGGAGTTCAAGGACAGCCTGAACCACACTCTGAGACCTTATCTAAAGCACAAAAACAAATTCTATTCTCTTTACCAACAACTGATTCAAGAATCAAGGGACCCAATTTAGGACTTGAGACACAAAGACAAACTAGTTGAAGACTAGGAAAGGGCTTCCCAAAAAGGTAAGTTCTAGCCTTCTTTATTGTCCTCTGGGTGCTGATGCAGCTTGAGAATGTGGCAGACACTGACTTACGAGGGGAGCCAGCTGCATGAAGATTCCCTAAAAGTCCAATATGCTCTGGCTGGAGTAAACCTTGCTGGAAATCCCATACATACAGCCATTCTCACGCTTCCCTGCAAAGATGGGGGTCTAGATCATGGCCTCTATCATTAATGTGCCTGTGACAAGGTCTGTATTCTGAAAAATGACTAGCCTCTGAGGCATGAGGGGCTTATCTCCTAGGTCTGAGGACAGTGCTAAGCCAAAGTTTCAGAACTCGTATCTAGAACAACAGAATGAGCACTGGACAAAAGCTGAGTATGTGGCTAATCCAACCTGCTCATCCTTCACAACCTACTAAAAGCTCTGGTTCATCTCATTTGAAGACAGAATCAAACTTAGTCTTCCTACAAATCTGTTCACTTTTCTAATTTTCTCAGGGATTACTCTATCCTTGTAGTCCATACTCAATCTTTTGACTTCTTTCAGAAAACATATCAGTTCATCAGTTATCAAGTTTCGATTGCTCCTCCTTATCTACGTGCCTATACCTACCCTCTACCTATCTTCTCAGTAACCTACCATATCAAGATTAGTGCCAACTGGCTTCACATAATCAGACCTATTCCTTTAAATCACCTTCCCAGCACCTACAATCTCTTGATTATGCCCTTAGGACCCTCTTGACTAGTCCTGATGCCAGCCTCTTCTAACTCAATCTCCCACCTCCATGTGTATGCACAGACCTGCTCTGATCACACTGGATGACTCACTTGTAATGTTCTCCCTACCTTCACACAGACTATGGGGTTGAGGCCAGGACTGCCATGGAGGTTCAAGAAAGGCTTGACTACAGAAAAGGAGACAGTAGGCCCACTGGCAGCAAGGTTCAGCTCAACATTCAGCCCAATACTGATGATGTAGAGGTGTGTTCTGAATAGGGAAGCCAATAAAGGAATGGACCAGTAACAACAGGAGCCAACATGCCCTGAATATTGGTTTTTTTGGTACCGGGAATTGAACTCGGGTCCTTGCACTTGCACAGCAGGTGGCGAAACCACTGAGCTAAATCCCCGGCCCTTATTTTTTTGTTTTTGCCTTTTTTGGTACTGGGGGTCGAACTCAGGTCCTTGCACTTGTGCAGCAGGCAGCAAAACCACTGAGCTAAATCCCTGGCCTGTGCCCTGAATATTTATGTCATTTATGCTAAGTTTACAAATGACGGACTCCCTTAGTAGTAACAATCACCACTTTGGAAGGTGTTATTAATATCCTCATGTTACATGAAGAAACAGGATCATAAGGATTGAATAATATGTTCAGGGTTCCACAGCTAATCAGAGATAGACCTGCCCATTCAAACCCCAATCTGCCTGTTCACAGTTACTTACTCAATTGCTATACTATACCATCTCCCAAAATGGAAGCCTTGTAGGGAATAATAATGTACATTAAGTCCTCCTCTCTCCAGTATCACGTGAAACAGATCATCTGAAAGGACTGAAGGCCACATGCAGTTGGGTCTCCCATCACAAAGCATCAAATAAGATGATACATGTTACATTTTTATCCATTTCACACTCAAGACCAAGCTACAAAGTATTCTTTCTGCAACTGCTTCACTGTACATTGCTCATTCAGCCCATCCAAAAACAAATCTGACAAAGACACACAAATTGCACATGGCGAACAGGCCTACTAGGTGTTTTATGCAGTTCAACACAAAAGGTGACACCACAGTAAGACAAGTGAAGTTCCAGTTTGGGTGCCTCCATTTCCCACCCCTGTATCCTGATCCAGTGGCTGCAAAAACAAAAGGAATTTGAGTAGGGTGCTTGGTCATGGGGAAAGCCGCTGTGGTTGGCCCGGCAGATGGGGGAGGGGAGGGTTTCATTTCTTCACAATCTGAATGACATCCTCGTCCTCCAACGTATGGTCTTTACCCACTTTCTGAGGATTGTGTTTCACAGAGAGACCCCAGACCAGAGCACTGAATGGAAGGGAAAAAAGAACAGTCAGTGTAAATAATAAACTACCTTCTGCCCTATTTGCTTGGATGCTAACATTCTCAATTTTGGCACCCCAGTTCTTGAAAGCAACAGACCTGAAATAGCCAGGCCTTTCCCCAGGTCAAGGATCATACTCAAAGCCAGAGGCATTATCTTCCCCAGCAGTGTGATGTACTGAACCTTCACACAGAAGGGAGCAACCCTTTTGGAAGCTGTGTGGTTCCCCTTGTTCCAGAGCCAGTTTAAGAATGTCAAAGACAAAAAGGGCACAAATGAGTCATATGAAGAAAATATAGTTTCAAATTAAAAGGATTTCAAAAATCCAAAGTATGGACTGTTACAGAGAAAGACCCTGAAAAATTCAGACCAAAGAATGATTCTTAGAGATACAATGTCAGCTATACACTGCTACAGAATACCTGTATTTACTGGGTCTAATGAAACAACCAGTGAGTGGACACTGATAAGAAATGAGTGTACCTCTTCAGCCAGGCTAGGAAAATCCTTCCCTCTCTACCAAGAATCTTGTTTTTTATGTCCTCCTAACTTCTTGAAATATATAAAGGTAACATATCCAGGGGCTCCAAAACTGATATATTGTCACAGCACCAGAAAAACTACTTTAAATATCTATACATATTCCAAAAAGAAACTACTAAACAAGATACTACTTAAAAACAGACAAATAGGGACTGGGGATTTAGCTCAGTGACATTGCGCCTGCCAAACAAGTGCAAGGTCATGAATTCAGTGACAGGACCTGCCCAGCATGCATGAGTCCCTGAGTTTTATCCCCAGATTGGAAAAATTAAAAAAGAATAAATATGTATCAGGTATCACAGAATTAATAAATATTTTATATATACACACAAATTTCTCTTTATTTTTCTTTTTTGAGATAGGGTCTCACTATGTTGTTCAGACTTGCCTTGAACTCACAGCAATCCTCCTGCCTTATCTTCCCAAGTGCTAGAATTACAAGTGTGCAGCACCACACTCAGCTATATACACAAGTTTTTCAAATGCACTGATAAATATATAGGAAAATGCAGAATGACCATTTTATCATCTTAAACTAGAAAGCTAGTTTTTAACTACCACATTCTGTGGCTAAAGTAAAATTAGTGCCTCATACTTTGTTGATAGCAAAGTAAAAAGCTCAGCCCTTCTGGAAAGCAATACTGCAAAACCCATATAGAGACATTCTCTGTTTTGCAACTGAGTTATGTTTCTGTGACTAGGTCATTAATTGAATTGGTTGCTATATGAGAAACTATGTTACAGAACAAAGAAATGGTCAAAGGAAACTCCAACTTGGTGATTTGCTTTTATTTGTATAACTCTTACATGTAGTACTATAATGTATAACAACATAAAACTACAGTACTATATAGTACAATCAGCAAAAATTACAGTACTGTATAAACAAGGTATACTGTACAAAAAGAAAAGATAGTAAGCTGGGAGTGGTGGCACACATGTGTAATCCCAGCAATTGAGAGGCTGAGGCTGGAGGATCGGAGGATTGTCACGAGTTTGAGGCTAGCCTGGGCTACACAGTAAGTTCAGGGCCAGCCTGAACTACATAGTGAGACCCTGCCTCAAAAAAAAAAAGACGGGTCTCTAACAGACATCCCAGCCCAGCACTGGACTATGAGTGGCATGTGCTTCCTGCCTTCCCTAATTTGGCTCTACTGTTTTATATCAGGAGTCATTTCTGCATGACTCAAACGGGGATGTCAGATAGTAGAGTTGGACTAGTATTGTTCCTTCGCTAATGGCTGTCACCAAGGCCTAAGGCCTGGTCTGTGAAGTGGCAGGGCCCTGCTGAATTATGTGCAGCTGAGGTGAGCGTGACCCCATTTAAAATCCTTTCCCTTGAATTATCACTTCTCACTGACCTTGTGGATTGCTTATTAATTGTGCCTGGTCCTGGTACTGGTTTCTTCTATCCTACTAAGATAAGCAGTACCTACTCCCTAACAGCCCTGCCTGGCACCATCATTCCAGGTGTTTGGCAGTAATTCACAAGATGATTTCAAAGCTCCCTAGCTCCCCATTCTTTCTCATGACATGTGTTCAATAAATTGGATTCAACTGGATGTGCTTGGGGGCTTTTGTCTTTGCTGCCATTAGCAGCACTGACCAGGACCCAAGACTCAGCTTCACTGTAAGTCTTGTTCCTTCTATTCTTTAACCTATATCCGGTGCTGTGGTGGCTCACAGGAGGCTGGGAGCTACTGGAGGGGTCTCCAGCGACATCCATTCCCCTGATCCTTACAAGGGTCCTAAGTCCAAGTGGTGGGTCTTAACTCTAAATAATCGGTAGATCATTAAACAAAGAATTTTGTACAATGAACCCTTGAGTTACGACCGGCCTAACATAAGAACAACTTGGGTTACAACTGGCATTTTAGTTTTAACTTAAGAACAAAAGTCTTGAGGCACTTGTGCTTCCAGATGGTCTCAGATACAGATTTAACCCTTAAAGAGTTCTGGAAGGAACATTACAGCATCCTTTCCTGTGTGGGGTTGAGAAATACTGGACTTATGTCCTTCTAAGGACACCGAGACCTGCCTGTATACAAGAGACTTTGACGGCTGTGTAAAGGAGCTGGAGCCTTCAACTGACCAACCAGCCCTCAAGAACAAATTGAGTTCGTAAGTCAAGGGTCCACTGTAATTATTAATCCTACTTGTAGACTACAGAAATTAAGAGAGAATGGTCTGTGAATGAAGACCAGAAAACTAAACTAGCAAAAACCAAGAAATTATATAGTTAATAAAAATGACATATAAGCCAACCATGGCGGCCACACACTTGTAATTCTAGCTACTAAGGATGCTGAGGCAGGAGAATTCTAAGTTCAACCCCAATCTGAGTAACTTGGCAGGAATCTTTCTCAAAATAAAAACCAGAATGGGCTAGGGATGTAGCTCATTGGTAGAGCATCCTTGGGTTCAATCCCCAGTACTACCTGGGGGAAATATCATATTTTATATATAGAATAATCAAAGGTATAAAACATATATACATACATATACATATATGGTTTGACCAAATAATATAGTGTGTTTAAATTTTAAAAATTCATTATAGGCACACTGCTATAATCCAAATCAAAATAGTCCTGCCCCTTACTTCAAACACATCCCATTGTTTCTCCCACTTTCTGAAGTAGTCTAGAAGTTCTTTTTTGTGTTTTTTCAAAGTGAGATTAAAAAAATACAGGTAAGGCTGCTGCCAAGTGCCATCCAATGGAAAAACAGGCTCATGAAAACATTATGGTATAGGCCGGGGATTTAGCAAGGTCCCAAGTTCGATCCCCGGTACCACTAAAAACCAAAACAAAACATTATGGTGTAAGCTGGGCATGGTGGTGCATGCCTGTATCCCAGCACTTGAGAGGCTGAGGCATGAGGATCACTGTGAGTTAGAAGCCAGCATGGACTACATTGTGAGTTGAAGCCCAGCCTGAACTACACAGCATGACCCTGTCTCAAAAAATCATAAATTATGGTGTGACCTCATCTACCTTATTCACCAGATCCAGCACCATGTGACTTCTGACTGTTCACCAGAAGACCATAAAAGGTAAATGTTTGACTCAATTCAGGACCTTGAAGTAATCATGACTGTACAACTAAAGATACAAAACAGGACTTCCAAAACAGCTGCAGAAAGTTGCAAAAATGATGGGATAGCAGGGGAAGTATTTTGAAGGGAATTAATACCAATGTGTCTTTTACTATAATAATTATTTTTACTTTAACATTCACTATATTTTTATCACATATGTGCATATGTGTAAATAATTGAAGGATGGGGCCGGGGATTTAGCTTAGTGGTTCTAGCACCTGCCTCAAAAGCACAAGGTCCCAAGCTCAATCCCCAGTACCAAAAAAAAAAAAAACCCACAAAAAACAAAATAATTGAAGGATGGTATGCATGCAGCCAAAGAACTGAAGGAAATGGAAAAGGGATAAATGTTATGATTACTAGACCTGAAAATGAAATATTTCTACTATTAACAGAGTTTAAAATGCTACATGTAAAATAAACAAGTGAAAAACAGGATGACAGTGAGTGAATAAAATTCTACTTAAATTATACAGTTATCCCTCTGTATTTGAGGGGCACTGGTTCTGGCGCCCTCCCCATAAGAAAACTTGCAGATAAGTCTCATATACCATAGCATAATATTTGCACGTAACCTTTATACATCCTCCTGCATACTTTAAATCATTTCTGGATTATGTATAATACCTAATGTAAATAGTTGTTATGGTACAAAAAAAGGAAAAAGTCTGTATATGCTCTGTACATATGCAATTTTTTCCCCAACTATTTTCACTCTGCAGTTGGTTAAATCCACAGACACAGAACCCACAAAGAGGTCTGATTATACACTAGAATTTTTTTTTTTGGTATCGGGGATCAAACTCAGGACTTTATACTTGCAAGGCGGTACCAGAACCACTGAGCTAAATCCCCAGCCCTTTATACTAGAATTTTTAAAATAAGTAGTTTATAGACAGTGACAACTGCATCTCTAATTTGTGGAGAAATGAAAAATAAGAAATGGAGGAAAATAAAACAAACCCTATGGTACTTAACTGGGAGTAAGACATAAGAGTATAAACTCAGTTTTGCGAGAGGGAGAGGAAGGGGGAGGAAGGGTAAGATAAATACAAAAATATAGATGTGCATGGAATCAGGCCTTAATATTCTTATATATATTTCCTAGCCCTGCTGCTGAGAGGACCTACACGCTATGATAACCTACTACCAATGAGTATACCTTGCACCCAGATCTTGAAAACTAGGGCTCCTTGGAGAAGTCACTGATTCCAGGGCTGGTGCAGGCAAAAATCAAACATCAGGACCAGGGACTTAGCTCAGCGGTGCTGCGCCACCTGCCTTGCAAGTGCAAGGTCCTGAGTTTGATCCCCAGTACCAGAAAAAAAAAAAAAAAAAATCTAAAATCTAAAATCAACCATGAGGCCGGGGATTTAGCTCAGTGGTTTCACCACCTGCTGCACAAGCACAAGGACCTGAGTTTGAGTCCCGGTACCAAAAAAAAAAAATCAACCATGAGCACCTACCTAGTAGTGCCAAGAAGTAAGCAAAGGCTTAAGAAAAAAGATGAAGCTTATGAAATAAACACAGAACCCAAGAGGAAAAGAGTTCCTAATGGTCAAAGCTTGAAAAATTTGAGCAACAAAATAATGATAATATTAAGACTGTAGCTTATAGAATATCCAAGAGCTCATGTTGGTATAAATAAATTATGGATTGGATAGAGAAGTGACATCTGTAGCTCACAGTAGAGTTCCAATAAATAAATATAAAATGAAAAAGGAAAATAAAGAATCACCATTAGGCAAATGTAAGAGTAATAAATGTTGAAGACAAGCCCACAGATAGATGTTAAAATTAGCAGACAAAAATTCTGGAAAAAGAAGATTGGCACTGGGTATATAGCTCAGTGGTAGAGTGCTTGCCTAGCTTACATGAGGCCCTACATTCAAACACAAGTCTTGCATAAAAATAAAGGGCAAGAAGCGGAAAAGAAAGAGAGAGACAACATCAGACAAATCCATAGTAAGCATTCTTCAAAAGTGTCAGTCATCAAAGACAATGAAAGTCCAAGGAAATATTACTGGGAAACTAGAACACTGGAAAACTAAAGAGAAATAAAACTTGATGTCATGCAGGTTCCTGGAGCACACACTGGGAAAAAAAAGAATTAAAATTCAAGTTAGGTCTGTAGTTTAATTATTATTTTATCAACATTAATCTCTTGTTCTGATAATTGTACTAAGGTAACGTGAGCTGTTAGCATTATGAAAAGTGAAGGATAAAAGGAAACTCTGCACTGCTTTTGCAACTTGTCTGTAAATCTAAAATTTGGTTCAAAATAAAACATAAAATTTTTTACAGCATCAATCAGCAGTAAAAGTATGACAAAGAGGGCCGGGGATTTAGCTCAGTGGCATCGCACCTGCCTGGCAAGCACCAGATCCTGAGTTCAATCTCTGGTACCGCAAAACGAAGAAAAGAGAGGAGAAGATCAGAAAAGAGAAGACAAGGCAAGCAAACACTTTAAAAGCCTCCCTACTACCTGGTTTATTTAAAGCTATTCTAATAATTACTGTTAGTGAAATTTGTAGCTTGCAAGGAAAAAAAGGCGCCACAGGCCCATGATACTTACTATTTAAATTCTTTGATAAGATTTTTGTGAATCTTCATGCAGAAATCCTCCACAGTGGTCCTGGAATAAGGCAGCACCACAGGAGATGTGTAATCTGGTAATTGGCCTTTGGGTTTGGTGTAGCTAGAATAGAGGGCAGGCACAAAGGTTGCCACTTTAAGACTGGTTTATATGTTGAATACACACTAACCCTCCATCACCCAAGATCAGACCAGGATGACCAGCAATCTGAGGAAGAAAATGCCCTCATTATGATGTAGTACATGAAAAGAACCAATTTACTTCTATTTCCAAAAAGAATCATTTTATGAATGAGCCCCAAAGTATATCATTTTAGGACAGCCAGGTTTAATTCCTAGAGCAACATTACCTCATCCACACAAGTACTTACATTCTCACTAGTTTCAGATAGTCCCAGATCTTTTCCAACAAGTCGTCAAAATTCCAGCGGTGATGGGCAGAGATGGGTACACAGTGTGGCACCTTATAGATGATGTCCAATTCCTCAATAGAGATCTGGTCAATCTTGTTTAATACATAGATACAAGGGATATACACTCTACAGAAGTAGAGGAAAAATAAGGAATTAGTCTGGAGTTAACAAAATTGTCAATCCAACTACCAGTAACCCCAGATACACCTAGATGAGAGGCTCTCAAAAGGGAGAATAAACAATTACAAATCTACTAAAATAAGTAGAAAGTCCAAACAAAGACTGAACTATAGGTTGAGAAGTAACAAAACTCAGGCCCTAGTTCCATGTATGAAGCTAGCTCCTGGGAGAATGGTTGCCTACAAAGCTAAATCCAAGTACTATAGGGTTAGGGATGTAGCTAAGTGGTAGACTGCTTGCCTTATAAGCAGGGAGTCCTAGGTTAAATACCCAGTACTCCCCAGGGATTTAGCTCAGTGGTTCCACCGCCTGCGTCATAAGCGCAAGGTCCTGAGTTCAATCCCCAATACAAAAAAAACCAAAAAACCCAGTACTGAAAAAAAAAGTAAGTCCAATTTCTGACAACATATTTCATATTTTTTTTAAAATATAGATTCTTTAATATATTTCCTAATTTTTAATGACTAAAAATTTTAAAAATGTTAACCACATTACGTGGTAATGTTATAACCCTAGTGTCCAATCAGTATGGCAGCTAATATTACTAATAATTAGGCAAGGTATAACTTTCAAGCTTCAGCTGCCTCACTTGTAAAATGATAAACTCAAAGCACTGGGCTTTAGTTTTCAAATGAGAACCAAATGAATTCATCAAACAAATCAACAGAAAAGCAACTAAAATCATTATATCCAAACACTAAGAGTAACTTTAACAGTGGCTTAAATTATTAAAGTGTTAATAATAGTAATGTTCCATGAATAAGGTTTTAGCAACATACTCTTAAGTTTGGGAAGAACAGACATAACCTAGCCTTTCACTTCTGTAGAACAGCATGTAAGATTTTTCACATGGATCAATTCTGGGAGAGCAGACTTAATCTACTTTTTTCAATCATGACTTGAAAAAGCTTACATAGGGGCCCCCTGCCCAAAGTCTTCTGATATGTTGGGATTAATGTGCTCTAAGGTAACACTTTCCAATAAACCTAAATTAATTAACACTAAAAAAAAAAAAAAAAAAACAGCTTAGAGGACATCATAGCAAGTAACTGAAATAGAGAAGTTAACCATCTAAATTAAACTGTTGAGGGCTAGGGATTTAGCTCAGTGATTCTGCCGCCTGGCTCACAAGTGCAAGGTCCTGAGTTTGATCCCCGGTATCAAAAAAAAAACCACAAAAAAACCTGTACAGCAAGGACAGATGTCAGAAATTAAGACCAACATTTAACAGTACAACTGGAGTGAGAATCCACATCTGCCAAATTCATGATCCAACAATATTTCCATCATTTTTTTTTTTTTTTTTTGCTTTTCTGTTTTTGAGACAGGGTCTCACTATGTAGTCCAGGCTAGCCTTGAACTTACTATGTATCCCAGGCTGGCCTTAACTCATGGCAATCCTCCTGCCTCAGCCTCCTGAGTGCTGGGATCATGGCTTCCATCACAATGTTTTAAATTCAAAATCCGGCACAGAGTGCTTAGTCAGTACCTGTTTCCTTCCACCACATCAATGAGGTCATCAGCTGTGGCATCGCTACGCAAAGTTACATCAGCATTATGAATTTTGTATTCAGCCAGAATGCTCTTCACAGTTTCAGCATCCAGCTCACTCTGAGGGCACTGAATAGGCATAGGAAACAATGACTAGTCAGGGGGTGGGGGAGATACTTACCTATGTATGTACCTAGATAATTCTAGCTAAGGTGCAAAATCATTATTAAAAACAATATCCTGGAGGGCCGGGGATTTAGCTCAGTGGTTCCACCAGCTGCCTCATAAGCACAAGGTCCCATGTTCGATCGCCGGTACCAAAAAAAACCCAATACCCTGCATAGGAGCAGCTAATTTTAGTAGGAAATAATTAAACACTAAAAGTCTTTCCAAACTCAAAGGAAGGTATTATTGGGCTAAAATGTATATCCATTTTCACCCCTTCCCCATCCTCCCAACCTTAGTCCCTTATAAGTCATATAATGAAGTCCTAGCTTCAGTATCTTAGAATGTGACTACATTTGGAGAGAGGGACTTTGAAGAGATAATTAGAGTGAGGTCATTAGTCTGGGGTCCTAATCTAATAGCTACATTGTCAGCACCTTGATTTTAGGCCTCTAGAATTATGACAAATAAATTTCTATTGCTTAATCCACCCAGTGTGTGGTACTTCATTATAGCAGCCCTAGCTAACTAACACAGAAAGAATCTTAAATGCTCAAATTTACTTTCTTTTTTTTGAGAGAGGGCCTTGCCATGTAGTCTAGGCTGGCCTACAGCTCAATGTATCCCAGGCTGACCTCAAACTAGTGGTGATCCTCCTGCCTTTCTTAGCTTCCCCAGGGCTGGAATTACAGGCCTGTGTGCCACCACCCCTCACGTGGCATGTTTGCTTGCTTGCTCACATGCTTTTCTTTTCTTTGGTTTAAGATTCTATGCTGACTGGTGCGCAAGCGCAAGGACCTGAGTTCGATCCCCGGTACCAAAAACAACAACAAAAAAAGATTCTATGCTGAGAGCAGTGTCCTTGGTGGGGGAAGGGAGCGGCCCTGGGGACATTCCCCCAATATCAGCTCAGACAGGTCCCTCAGCCTCCATCTTGCCCCAGACAATGTCCTTCATGCCTGGCTGTCAGGGATAATCCTGTTCCGTCTCTGGTGCCAGAGTCCCCCTGTCCTGTATGCTGACCTATATGCTTACAGGTGGTAAAGATGCTAAGTTCTATGTAAGTTTTTTGCCCTGATGGCCCTGATGCATGTTAGGTCCCAGCCCTATGTGATGTATTTCTTACTGTGGTAAGGACAACAGCAACAACCTGAATGCTCAAATTTAAACATTATGATAGGATAACAGAAAGATTTTTTCGGCAGAACAGCTTAAATCTGAAACAATTTACTTGGCTTCCAAGATTCTAAACTATTCTAGTTTTCCTTCTTTGTCTGAAAAATCTTACTTCCTTAAACATCTTGTCTTTTCTATTTATCCTCATTTACTTAGTAATCTCAGCTAAGCTTTTAAGTTGATAATCCCCATATATATCTCCAGATAAATTCCTCATATGCCTTTCTAACAGAAACACTTAGATGTCTATCTAATTGGCCTCTCAAACCTAATCTGATCTTCCTCTTTCTCTCCCCTCCAAATTAATTCTAGTCAAAGGCTTACAATTTTGATGAGATTTCATTTTTCTAGTTCAAGACAAAAATCTCAGTCATCTCTGAATCTTTGTCTCATAACCCATAATCCAACCCAACTACACTGCCTAATAGACTACTTTTAAAGTCTTTCCACAATCACTTCTCTTTTCTCTTTTCATTGTTACAACCCTGATTTAAGAAACCATCACTTCTTGATTCAATTATTATAAGAGCTTATATGATTTCTCTGTTCCTTTCTCTTTTTTTTTTTTTGAGTAGTTCAGGCTGGCCTGGAAATCACTATGTAGTCCAGACTTGCCTCCAACTCACCGTGATCCTCCTGCTTCTACCTCACTCAGTTCAATCTAATTTTCAACACAACAGCCATTATGATTCCATTAAAATCTAAGTCAAGTCATAGTTACTCAATTGTTCTAAATCCAAGCAACAGTTAACTATCCCTTAAAGTAAAAGCATATATAGCCCTATGCTATGACTTCATCTCTTAACTACTCTTCTACTCTCTCACTCTCTGGTTCCTCAACCATACAAGGATGTGCTCTACTTCAGGGACCTGCACTTAGACCTGCAACTTTGTATCATCTAAGCAAAGACTTCTCTAACCAATTCCCAATGAGAAATGTAATTGTGTTGTATACCTACAATGTACCAATAAAAGAATTTAATAGATTTAAAAAAAAAAAATGCAACTGCCACACCAACATTATCCTCTTCCTCTAGTTTACTTTTGTTCTTAGATTTATCATTGTCTTATGTACTGTATTTTACTCAGTAATTTTATTTGCTACTTTATCCAAGAGTAGCAGTTTTGTCTACCTTGTTCTCACTTCTGCTCTCCCACTACCACTATCACCACCACTTCCCATGCCCTAAAATAATGCTTGGCCCCTGGCAGGTACTGTATAAATTTGTGTAAAATGAATAAAAACACAGGATATTGGCAGCCAACTACTTCATAGAAGCATAAGATTGATCTACACTACTATACCACCCCAAACAAAAAATCCAAAGGGGGAAATGAAGTTGCCAATGTAAGTATGACTCCTGCCATAACCTTAAAGTCTCTGTCAGTCATTACTACATCATGATAATTAGGGCAGGAGAAAGCCAGGAAATTTCCAAATTCTATGTCCATGCACCTCAATCTGCTCTCTAGTCCCTTCAGTAGCCTGTCTCATGTCATTTTCCCCACTTACAGTGGCTGTGAGATTAATGCCTCCCTTGTCTTTCTTCTTAAAGCCGATGTTAGGAGGTTTGCTATTCAAGCGAATGCCAAAGCCTTCCAGCTCGTTTTCAATTATCTTCTTGTGTCCCAAGGGTTTCAGGACATCCAGAACGATCAGGATCAAATTACATGTACGGGCCACTGGGGGAAAAAATTATAGCCAAAGATCAATAAGGCTTAACTAACTCAAATAGACGTGTTTTCCCCTTATACTTAAACATGATGGACTTATTTTATAAATACATACACACAAAAAGCTCTTAAAAGTGTCAAAGATTTATACCAGAGATCAGTTTACAGCGTATGTCTCAAAATTATTATATATGCACCCAAAAGTTGACACATCTTCTACATAGACTAGTTTAAAAAAAAGAAAAAAACAGTCAAAATGAAGACACAAGCCAGACAATAACCTAAACACCAAACGAGTTTATGAAGATTTAAAACAGGAAGAACTGTAAAAGAGTATCTAGTTAACATACTTTTTTTTTTGGTACTGAGGATCAAACTTGGGTACTTGTGCTTTCAGGGCAGGTGGCAGAACCACTGAGCTAAATTCCCAGCCCTAGTTAGCATACTTTTAATCAATTTTGAGGTACAATTTACACAAAATAAATTGTACCAATGTTAACCATATGGTTTAATGACAAATGTATATTCCTTTGTAACCACCACAGCAATCAAGATGCAAAACATTCACTTCACCTCCAAAAAGCGTCTTTGTGCCTTCTTCAATCCTCCCCTCTATTCCTGGCCACCCAGTGACCTGCTTTCTGTTACCATAAGCAGTTTTCACATAAATGGAACCACATAAAATACAGTTCTGCTGGGTGCAGTGGTACATACCTGTAATCCTAGTACTCAAGAGATGAAAGCAGGAAGACTACAAGAGCAGCTTGGGCTACAGAGTTCAAGGCCAGCTAGTACTAACTACATAGCAAGACCTTGACTCCAAAAGAGAAAGGTAGTCTTTTGTGCCTGGATCTTGTATTCTATCCATTTTTAAAATATTTGACCACGTTTTATAGGTATCAGCGATTCATCTCTTCTTATAAGTGAACAGTACTCCACTTCACAGATATACCATCATTGTTTATCTACCTATTATTCACCTACTGAGAGACATCTGGATGGTTCTTAGTTTGGGGTTATTAGGTATAAATTTGCTGTGAAGATTCACAAACCAGTCTTTCTGTGGGCATATCTTTTCATTTCTCGTGGTTAAATACCAGTGGAATTGTGGGGTCACATCATAGGTACAGGTTATCAGAAACTGCTCAGTAGTTATCCAAGGGTTTGTATAATTTTACACTCCCGTAAGCAGAATTCCAACAGCTACACATTCTCACCAACACTTGGTACATCATTCTTTTTTAACTTTATCCATTCTAAGGGGTATTTAATGATATCTCAATATGGCTGGATTTCCCTGACAATTAATGATTTCGAGCCACTTTTTAATGTACTTATTGGCCATTCATGTATCTTACAAGTTCATTCTTTTGCTCATTTTTTTTTTTGGTACCGGGGATCAAACTCAGGACCTTGCACTTGCGAGGCAGGCAGTGGAACCACTGAGCTAAATCCCCAGCCCTGCCCATTTTTTAATTAGGCTGTACAATATGAGTTTTTCACATATTGTAGAAACAAGTTCTATGTCAGATACACATACTGCTAATATTTTCTCCCAATCTGTGGACTGTTTCATTTTTAACTATGTCTTACAAAAAGCAAGTTTTAAATTTTGATATGAAATATATCAACTGTGTCTTTTGTGGTTCATGATTTCAGTGTTCCATCTAAGAAATCTTTGCCTATCCCAAGACAACAAAGAGTGTATACTTGGCTGGCATTTAATCACTATATAGAACAGTTAAATGAAGACTTGCGCTTTTTATAGGGGTTTAGTTTTTTGTTTTTTGTTTTTTTGAGACAGGGTCTTGCTCTATAATTCAGGCTAGTCTTGAACTCACTATTATAGCCCAGGCTGACCTGGAACGCATGCACAGCAATCCTCCCGCCTCAACCTCCTGAGTGCTGGGATTACAGGCATGTGCCACCATACCTGAGCTTTTTGTAGTTATTTTAACTTTTTTTTTCCTGATTAAAACAAATAAACCATGCTCACTATAAGAATAATTTTTTTTAAAAATTAGGGTGACTAATTCATCATCCAAACAAGAAGAATTCTGAGAATGAGAAAACAGTACTATTAACATTATTTTGGAAAAACAGGCATAAAATTAGAATTTTTAAGTTCACACAATAAACTTCAACCAGCCCAAAGCAGAGTTGAAAACATCTATTCTAGTCTTCTCTGTGTTGTATCATTTCCTTTCATGCTTACAGAAAACTAAAGACCACAGAAGTATGAGCAACCCTATAGGAAAAATCTATGTCCAATTGAAAACTTTTAGCCCTGTTTGTTTTTATTTTTGGCCCCATTGGTGTTAGGAATTGAACCAGAGCCTTGGCACCAGACATTTTTAAAAAACTAGTAATTCAAAAATGTTAGCTAAGGGCCAGGGATTTAGCTCAGTGGCACCGTGTCTGTCTTGCAAGCACAAGGTCCTGAGTTCGATCCCTGGTACCAAAAAAAAAACAAACAAAGAAAACAGCTAGTAACGTTTGTCCTATTTTGATCCATGTCTTGATGATAATGTGAAAATAAACAGGATACCCTAAATGATGCATGAAGTAAATATTAAAGCTAGAAAAAATAATGAAATAAAGCTGTAAATGTAGATGTTGCTCTGCTGGGCAACTGAATCTTGCTCTCAAGAGACCTAAGAGCTGAGAAAGAGGTCCAGGATAGGTATATTTCAGGGACAGAGGAACACAACAATGGATGATGGACTCAAAAGGAAAGCTTGAAATTTGTACTATATACAATAAATCTCTAGACACCTTCCCTTTCTCTTCTCCCAGGAGAGGACTTAAGCATTTTTCTTTGGAGTTACTGATTAGTCCCAGGAAAAAATTTGTAGACATTGATATTGTAGACATAGATATTGTAGACATCCAGGGTTCTTCCTCCATAAACGCTGGCTCATTGCATGTCAACTTATAATAAAAGCCATTAGTCGAAAGGACCACTCAGTGATAGAGCAGTTCACCAATTTTCTAATTCTTCATTCTTTAAGTAGGACAAAATACCAAGGGCTATCAAACACCTGAGAGGGAAAGTGATTTAGCTCAGTGATTCTGGCGCCTGCCTCGCAAGCGCAAGGTCCTGAGTTCGATCCCCAGTACCAAAAAACAAAACAAAAAAAGCCTGAGAAAATTTCCAACATGAGACAAATCAAAACAAAACAACCAGCAAAAATTGAAACAATGAGACAGAAGAAAATGGTTTTAAAACATCTACCACTAGGCTGGGGGTATAGCTCAGTGGTACAGTGCTTGTCTAGCATGTGCAAGGCCCTGGACTTAATCCACAGCACTGCAAAAATAAATAAATAGTTAATTAATTAAATAAGCAATCTACCATTGATATCTTCAGAGGGATTTATTTATTCACCAAAATTTATTGAGACTTCAACTGCAAAACAAAAAAACCTTCTTTCATATAAGCCTTACATTCCTATAGTAGACAGTAGGAGACAATAGTAAATTTATAAATATAGGTCAGGGGGTCACAAGGGTTGTAAACAAAGAAAAGTTGAGTAAAAGAGAATGAGCAAAGTAACTGAGTACATACTATTTTATACAGGCCAGTTAAGAAAATCCCTTCTGAAGTGACATTTAATAAAGATCTGAAAAATGCAAAGTGTATCATCTGACTCCCTTAGGAAAGCATTCTAGATATAAATAATGTTAAGTCCAAAGATCCTGAGACAGTAGAATATTTAATGTATTCAATGAACAACCAAGAAACCAGTGATCTCTGAGACCCAATAACTAAGATGAGTAGCAAAAAAAGGTCAGAGAGCCTGCCGCAGGCTGGGTCTCTTATAACCTTCTTCTATGTGTGTATAGACTTGAGATCTCATTACAAATAACAAGCAAAGATATTCGAAGGTTTGGCCAAGAAATTACATGAGCTAATTTTGGCGGTGGCAGCAGGGAGGTGAGGTGGTAGTACCGGGGTAAAAAGCAGTCCTTTTTATTTTTCCTTTGGAGACAGTCTCACGAAGTCAGCCAGGCTGGGCTCAAACTTTCAATCCTCTTACCTCAGGCTCTCAAGACATGGAATTACTGGCATGCGCCATCACACTTGGCCTGATGTACTTCTTTAACCATAACCATTCTAGCTACAGACAGAAAGAACTACAAAGCAGCAGGATGGAACAGGGTGATTAGTTATAGGGCTATAATACTGAGTACAGGCAAAATACAATGGCAGCCTGAACAAGGAAGGTGGCAGAACAAATGTTAAGAGCTGAATCACTAAAAATCAAAAGGGGAAAAAATGCTAAACTGTTTTTGCTTACAACATAGAAGATGAAATGAGGGCCAGAGATTTAGCTCAGTGGTACTGCCACCTACTTTGAAAACGCAAAGTCCTGAGTTCGATCCCCAGTACCAAAAAAAAAAAAACAAAGGCAGCAAAATGGCTTTTGTGACTCTTTATCTCAGGAAAAGCTGAGAAACTATGATATTCAGAGTGGTCCCTGAGGAAGAGAGGTATTTTTGATGATCCTATCCTCAGATCCCCAACTGTATCTCAGGGGAACACGGGTCTTTCCCATCTGTTTAATGAAGAAACTTCAGATGGAAACCCAGACACTTAACCCAATTGCTAGACATGGCCTTTTCTCTGTTCAACAATTAGGATCTGGACGAGGGTCAAAAGAGAATGGCTAAGAATATAGCTGTCATAACACTTTACTTTTAAAAACAGAAAACGCATGCCAAGGATTTAGCTCAGTGGCACGTGAGTGCAATCCCAGTACAAAAAAAGAAAAGGAAAGGGATGGATTGAATTAGGAAACTTGAATTCTATTCTGAATCTGCTACCCACTCACTCAGATTGTCTAAGGGAAAACCCAAAGACAATCAAGAAAAGAATTTCTGCTTCAAGGGCAATAAGTCAGGAAACTGTGATGCGACGGCACCAAGCCACTCCCTGCACTGCCTGGCCTCTGTGAGATACCCAAAGTGCCTGACTCATAGCACTGGAGGTTTGACTGTCCCTGCTCTTGGAGAGGGGTGAGGTCAACCAAATTCCTCAAATCCTGCTCTGAAGAGACCCAAGAGAACCTACAATGCCCCTGTTCATGGACATTACCATTTTCTGTGAGGAACCCTGTATAACACTAGATGTTATGGGTGAGCCAATTCAATTACTTCATTCAGTTTTGACTTCCATCTCTGGAAAATCCTTTTCTAGCTCAATACCCATAGTTGGGGTCAAGGGGACCCCTAGTATCACTCGCCCTCTTTGCCATACTTTGTCCTTCACAAGAACCATGGAAATTTGACCTGCTCCTCATATATGGGTTATGCATCCCCAACATAATAGTAAAGTTACTTTCTTTTTTTTACTCATTAAGTTTATTGGTACATTTTAGGTATATGATGACATTCATCATTGGGAATTTGTACCTTTACATGATATATCTTGGTTCTTGTTTTTTTCCCTATTCCCCTGCCCTCCCTTCAATCCTTCTACCCCTCCCTATTTACAAAGACTTTGTTTCCATTTTTTACTTTTCTCATATTTATTCCTTTCCCCTACCCCTCCCACTTCCCTTCCCCTTTGGACCTTTTCTTCCTATTTCACCTTACTTATTGTACAATTTGATCCTTCCTTTCACTTTCAGTTTCTCACACCAGAGAAACTATACAATATTTACACATGTGTGTCCTATTTATTTCACTTACAGAGTATGGACGTGAAGTTACTTTCTCCTGTCAAACAGACAGCTCAATAATCTTAACTCTTTTCTCACTATCTTCTGACAGGTTTCTTTTCTTCAACCCAAGCAGTGAGCCACAATACTCCAAGGTAGTTGGAGAGCATATAATCCCCAGCAGGTAGGGTCTGCAGCCCCTTCCAGCCAGAAGAAGATGCAGCAGACAGAGCCCTCCACTCCCTCAGCACCCCAAAAAGAATTATGGGGATAGGGCCAGGGATTTAGCTCAGTGGTTTCGCCACCTGCTGCACAAGCACAAGGACCTGAGTTCGATCCCTGGTACCAAAACAAAACAAAATAAAACAAAGAATTATGGGGATATGCATCTCTCAGGAGGAAATAAGACAGGCGATTAAGGTGTGGCAAAGCTGTCTGGGAAAGTAGATGCGACTCATTAATTACAAAATCCCAAGACACATACACAGAGCAGCCCTGAACATGGACTTCTCATGAGAACTCAAGCAGGTTTTCACTAGGATGGCCTAGACCTGATGTCAGCCTGAGGAGTGGGTGGTACAAAAAGGACAGTCGACAGTGAGTTTTTGCCACTGTTGTCTCTTGCACAGTGGTCCACTCTCACCTTGTAGAATGTACTTCTTTTCCTACTTTTACCTGGCCCAAACTCACTGCAGAGCCTGTTTCTTTTCCTAATGTTAATCAAACTTTGCTACCATTAAAAAAGAAAAAATTATATATATACTGCACAAAGTATAGTATTTACTTCTCTTTTCCCGTTCTTAGTTTTTCACCTAAAAAGGGGGTCTGGACTATTTCGGTGGAGTCTCTTGAAATTTTGACATTTTATTCAAAAATGTTCTGACATTCTAGTACTCAGAAAAAAATTTTTAAAGACTGGGGATGTAGCTCAGTGGAAAGGCCCTGGATTCAATCCCCAGTCAGGAAAGAAAAGAAAGAGAAAGAGAGAGGAGGAGAGAGAGAGGAGAGAGAAAAGAAAGAAAAAGAGAGACAGCAGGAGGGAGTGAGGGAGGTGGACAAGTGATCCCAGGACTGGGGTCACTCACCTGCAATGACTTGACGACCTCTACCTTTCCCATCCTTGGCACCTTCAATGATACCTGGGAGATCTAGGAGCTGCAAGAGTAAGGGCAGGGGGAAGAAGAGGGAAGGAACAACCAATTATAAATCCAAACAGACCAAACACAATGACTTCTTTCTCAAGTATCCGAAATGTATGAGAAGTCAAACTTCCTTACAAGGCAGTGTATAATTTTATTTTCACTAAACATCTAATAAATGTCAGCTAATTGCTTTTTGTACACTTTTCCTAGGCTAAAATGCCTAATATCCCTAACAAAGATAATAGTTCAAGCTCAGTTAGGACACTTGTCCAAAGTCGTAATACTAATAAATCTGATTATAATTCATACATTTTGGGCCAAAATTCATTATTCTACATTACTGTCTTTCAGTGTTCCCCCACTTTTCTGAAGGCTGAGCCTCCACACAAATTCCTCACTGCAGATTATAGCAAAATCTTCACATTACATGTGATACTGAGACTCTTTAGTAAAATTCCAACTCAAAAACTTCTGCAGTGGATCTTAATCACACAAGCACAACAGAATCACCTGGAAAACTATTAAAGCTGTAGACAGCTGAGACCCATCACTGCAGATCCTGATTTGGAATGGCCATACAAGGGTGTCAAAACCTCCACAGGTGACTGTTAAAGATCTTTACTGTAGGGCCGGGGATTTAGCTCAGTGGTTTCTCTGCCTGCTGCGCAAGCTCAAGGACCCGAGTTCAATCCCCGGTACCAAAAAAAAAAAAAAAAAAAAAGATCTTTACTGTCAAAGAACTTAACAACCAAAACCCCTCCATATAATCTTAAATGGTTCTAAGTCTGTATACCTCTTCCACTAAATTACAGATAACAAAAATCGCTGCTCTTTTTTTGGTGGTGGTATATGGAAATTAAACCCAGGGCCTTCACATTGAGCTACCTCTAAAGTCATTTTTTTGATTTGTTGTGTATTTTTCTTTTTCTTTTTTTTTTGGTACTGGGGATCAAACTCAGGTCCTTGAGCTTGCGAGGCAGGTGACACAACCACTGACCTAAATCTCCGGCCCTTCTAAAGCCATTTTTAAAAATTTTTTATTAAGACATGTTCTCACGGGCCGGGGATTTAGCTCAGTGGTTCTGCCGCGAGCCGCCTGCCTCAAAAGCACAGGGACCGGAGTTTGATCCCCGGTACCAAAAAAAACCATGTTCTCACTAAGTCACTAAATTGCCCAGGCTGGATCTGAACTTGTGACTTTCCTGCCTCAGCCTCGCTGAGTGCTGGGATTATAGGCACACTTAGGAAGGCTGAGCCAGGAAGATCGCCCAGAGTTTGAGGCCAGGTCACATAGTGAGCTCAAGGATAGCCTGAACTACAGAGCAAGACCCTGTCTCAATCAATCAATCAATATTTTAAAAAACATTTCACAGCAGACATCTTAATGCAGTTAATCACACCTAATATATTTACATCGTTTCTGGACAAAAACAAGGAGAACAGAGGCAAAAGGGATAGGCAGGAAAAAAAGCACCCTGCAAAGGGGGGAACAGGGTCAAAAAAAAAAAAATTAAGGAGAGTAAAATTAATGTAGGTTTTACAGAAAAAAAAAAAATTAAAGAGAAGACTTAGGCAGCTGTTTATTCTGCTACTGTCAGAAGCCCTTCAATAGGTGGTAACAGAATCTCATCAGGAAATAAGTTATTCTTTGAGCTGCCAAAGCTAAGACTATCAACAAGACTCTGAAACCGGCTAGAATCAAGCCATAGTCCATACACCTGTGTTTCCTAAGTCTTGTTATATACATTTAGACACAGGATCCAAAAGAAAGATACGATCCAATACAGTTTCTGCATGGGCACCTAATCAGCAATAAAAAGGTCACTAAAAAATATCACCAGAACACACGTTCCTTCCTACTTCAGATTCTGTAATAAAAGCATGAATGCATCTCACAACTCATTGTGTAGCTCAGCGAGAAAAAAAACAAATGCCTACACTTTGGCTTCCAAACTATGTACTAAGGTAATCTGGGGTACTCGTGACCTGACAGGTAGGGTATCCCATTGGCTATACTAAATTTTCAAGAAAAACACAGCAATTCTTGATTTGTATCAGATACCAACAGAACACTAGCGCTAGTAGCTCACAATTTCAGCAATCCCACTATACTGTTTTCAGTTACATCAGATCCAAATCTTGGAAAGCTGGATTTTTTTTTAGCAATTGGTATGGAAAAAATAAGTCACTTAAGTATTAGTGTGGGAAAGGAAATACATATGGAAATATCCAATCTAATGTAATTCTGGGCTGGGGATTTAGATCAGTGGTTCCGGCACCTGCCTCACAAGCGAAAGGTGCCAAGTTTGATCGCTGGTACCAAAAAAAAAAAAAAAAAATCTAATGTAATTCCAAGGTTTGAAGAGTTATGTAGTACCCAACAGGTACATATCCCATTAGTAAAGGTCTGTGGCTAAAGGGACATAAATACTTCAGTTGTTTGGACTGAACTACTTAACAAATAGAACCATATGATATTTTTGTTTGCCTAGGGAACACCATAAAACATTGGCACACACCTGTAATCCCACCTACTCAGGAGACTGAAGCAGGAGGATTACAAATTTGTAGTCAGCTTAGGCAATGGAATAAGACCTTGTCTCAAAATAAAAAATGAGAAGAGGGGCCAAGGCAAGTGAGAGGTCAATCCCCAGTACCACTGGGTTCAATCTGCAGCACTGACAAATAAATAAATGAGACTCAAAAAGGTATCAAGAAATAATCGCTGAGACACTCAGGGTACAATGAGCCAAGAAAGTTTGGGAACCTCTTAACAAAAATTCAAATGTCCCCAAAATTCAGAACTTTGGATTCTTAACTATGCAGCCAATAAGAGTATGTTCCACTATATTCTACATATACCTTCTTTCATACCCATGAAGACCCCTTATTTAGGAGCCCTAAAAACATTATCCTAGAAGAATGGCTTAGGAGAACAACTTTATTAGGCCTCACAGATAAGAATTACCTTCTAAAAAGGTCAGATCACATTATTTAAAGCTTTTTATAATTCCTAGCTACAAACAAAATTCAACTTCCTTAGCATGTACACAAAGCCTATCATAATTCACTCCCAACTTACCTTTCTAGATTTAGCTTCCAGCACTTTGGTCCCACATAGACTCTCACATCACAGCAAAATGTTTACCATTACTACTGCCTGAAATGCTCTTCTCTCTTCCTTCTCTGCATGGTGAAATTCTATACTAACTTTAATTCTCACCTCCTATATCACTTTCTACATCAAGTCTTTGTCTCACTAGACCTTCTTCTCTAACTCTCAGGAGAAGAACTATTTTCGCAGGCACTGCTCCTCTATTTTTTGTTTGTTTGGTTTTTTTTTTGGTTTGAATCAGGTTCTCACTATGTAGTTCAGACTGACTTTGAACTCAAAGACATACACTATCATGGCCAGCAATATTCCTGTATATTATTGCATTTTTGTACTGCTCTATCTACCCTGCTACACAATAAGGGTCAAGATCAAAAATCAGCCAGGTGTGGTGGCGTATGCCTATAATCCCAGCATTTAGGAGGATCACCACAAGTTCAAGGCCAGGCTGAACTACATAGCAAGACTATGTCTCAAAAAAAAAAGATCAAAAATCAGACCTGGCATAGAGTGAGCTCCCAAAAGTACAATGAACAAAAATATGGATTTCTTCACTTCCTTGCCTTTGGCCTGACTCACCTGGATCTTGGCACCTTTGTATCTGATGACACCAGGCACAGTAGTCAGAGTAGTGAACTCATAGGCTGCCACCTCAGAATATACTCCTGCCAGGTTACTCAGCAGTGTTGACTTCCCCACAGATGGAAAGCCCACAAACCCAATTCGAGCATCACCTGTCTTGGCCACATCAAAACCTAAAGCAATAAACATCAAAAAGAGAAGCTTTATCTAGATGAGTTAAAATTTATGTAATTCCATTCACATTTTTGCTGCATATCTCTCTAGGCCCTGTATCTCAAAACTTTTTATGGTTTACCTCTGAAGTAGAACTGAAGCACACAAAATTCCCTCTACATCAATTCACAACATTCAATGCAGTGTTTCATAGAAAAAAAGTATTCCAGCCATACTCTTAAGTGAATAAGTAAGACACACACGTGTAAATACTGAATAGTTTCACTAGTGTGAGAAACTGAGAGTGTAAATAAGGATTAAAAGGATTAATAGCTAATAA